TTTGTTTTGTTAATTATTTATATTTATATATTATTTATAATAATTAATTGTATAAAAATTTATCATAAAATATAGTATGAGGTGTCAAAAAGTGTAGTATGAGTTGTAAAAAAGTAGGGGTGCTTATAAGCAATTTCCATTGGAGCAAAAGTTGTAAAAATATAGTATGAGTTGCTTATGAGTGACGTGGCACAGTGGGACCCATTTAAAGTGGTTGGGAGTTGCTTATAAGCAACTCCCATTGTAGATGCTCCTAGCTCCAAAACATTTATATATATATATATGTGCTTAGAGAGTACAAGATAAGACAGAAAAGGAGATACAGCAGTCTGATCCCTGACACAGCCACCAACATTAGTAAAAGTATGTCTCAAAAAGAAAAGAAAAAAGTAATAATTACACCTATAAAATACATTAAACTTAACAAAAGACTAACCTGATTAAGCTTCCCAGCTTTAGGTCAGAAGAAGCACCAAGTTTTAGAAAAGTGGATTTTCCATCAACTGATGATGAAGCGGAAAATGGCATTGGTGGAACCTTGTTAAAAAAAATATTGGGGCATAAGTCCACCAATGGAACATCAGCAACAGGCTCCTTGGATGAAGCCACTTTTTCAAAACCAAATATTGGACCTGGTATGGCTATCTCCTTTGATGGAGCACCAGGAGCAGTTAACTCTGTTGATGAAACAACTTTATTCCCAAAAGTAAACAGAGGAGGTTTAGCAATTGATCCATTTTGTGAAGGCTTCTCAAAACCAAAACTTGTTTGTGTAGCTTCTGTAAATGGCTTGAAGGTTGGATCAGGGATGGATGATGTCGTAGAGGTTGATGCATCAACTTTCTCACCAACCATAGACTCATCAGCAGTCCTAATATGAGCCTCACCATCAATTGTAGAACTTTTAGGTGGCATTATTACAGGTAATGCTGATGGATTCTGCTGTTCAATTGCTTCAGTGCCAGAGGTAGTTTCCTTAATCACAACAATGGAGCTCGTCATTTCTTTCTCAACAGGGGAAAAGGAGCCAGCTCCATCTGGATAAGCATCATCATCCAGATCCAGACAATCCTTTTATAAGAGACAAGAATAGTAAATATCACAACTTGAGGTTGAAATGTTGAATAATATTTTATATTTGAAAACTAAACTTACAAATTATTCTGATTGGAATCATATTAAATACAACTATTTCAATAAGATCTAAGAAACAAATTGTTGTAAATGGAAGCAACACTTTGCTGTTAGAAAGCAGCCTACAAAGTTAGAAATGTGGTTATTCCGACTTCACTAATGAAAACCTCCCACATACCCCATATATAAAAACCAACATTTCAAATCATCACAACTACACAAACCAATGGATATCTATAAAAAAATCTCATACCTCGTGTGCGCTCATACAGAATGCCCCCTTATTTTGTGGAGGGTTGGAAACAGATTTTATCATAAAAGAATCCCCAGATTTTGCACCAGACAAATATTGATTCCTTGGGTTTGTAGCATGTTCAGTTGTTACAAGTGGAAGTGATCCATCAGAAAAAGCAACAAGCTTCAATGAACCATTTTCAACCTTATCTCTCTGATAATTTAACTTTTGATTCTGAGCACTTGCTGAAAAAGTTCCAAATTGGCCATCTAATTTATTACCATGTACACTGTCCAGCAATTTCGACGAATCTACTATTTCCAAGCTTCGAAGAGCCTGTCCACGTAACATGGAAGCCGATAACTTTGTTGGTGAATTATCGTGCACATTTGGTAGCATTAATTCAGATGATTTTTCTTTTGGAGAAACAAACTTATCAAGTTGCTGCAGTATTTTTGAAGCCATTTTACTGGATTCTGATGGGAAAGGGGAAAAGCTCGAACTAGGTATAACATCATCCACATTTTCTTTAGATAATTTCATATGGTTATGCTTAACTTCATCCAGTAGAATGGGATTCTGTATGGAAGAAGAGTGTCTCTGAGCAGCATCCACAATCATTCCACTCCTAGCAACAGATAAAGAGCTACCAGAAATAGGTAAGCATGAAAGACTAGACTTCTGACGAATTCGACGTAGAGGACCAACAGATCCTATATCACTATCCAATACTGAACTTCTACGCTTTACTGCCTACAAAAATAAGAAAAGCACAACACAAACTCTTGTAACGTATGTGAAATATACATTGAAAGACATGACATCTAACTCAAGTTCTTATACCCCTAGTTTAGATCTACAAAGCATGTCATGATCCAATGCAGACTGACTTGAAGATGATGGCTCACCTTCAAAAGTATGCCCACCACCCTGTAAAACACAAACCAGATCAGAAATTTGGTCCTAGAAACATTATGATAAAAAAATGTCTCATTTAGGAAAAAAAACCTTGAGAGTGGATGTTAGATAAATTCTGGCATATGGTGTTCGAGCCATACTATATATTGCAGATCTGCCACGATATCTTGCGGTCACAAAGCCATTTTCATGAACTGCAGCATGTCTAGTAGCCCTTGGCACAATGGACATAATAGGGGATTTAAGAGGAAAGTTTTCACTGTTTACATGAGTTGGATCCTCCCTGAGTGCAGGAGTTTGCACGCCTAAAATTGAAGTGGATACCTTGGAAGGCCTGCTCCCCATGTAAGACTTTGCAAGCTCCGCGGGTGAAGCAGCATCCTCAATAGGAAACTAGGGAGGGACATTGCAAATCAATATGTGTGAGATGGAGCACAAAGAGAAATCAGTAATTTCCAATCCACAAAATATAATCGAACACATATGATGACTATGAAGGCAAATTCTCATACACTTTTAGTAACAAGTGGGGTTACAACAAGACCATTTTCAATCAAATTTTGGGCAGGTGCTTTGGGATATTGTATTTGTCCACTAGGCAACATAGGTTCTGAGGGAATCATTTCTGTCCCCTTCTCTTCTTCCCCGACAGGTGTGTTCACAGTTCTTGAATGCATAAGTGCTGTCAAATGATCAATTTCAGATCTGTGGAATAACATACAAATATAAGAACATCAGTACAGAATCAACAAAAAATGATCACAAGAGGAATACTATTATCGAAGTAACCCAGAATGGCATGAACAGGTTATGGACAACAGGAAGAAGTATAATCAAATTCATTGCTACATGAACTACATAAAACTTCAAAATTTACATATTAAGTGCAAATTTTACAAAAGCAACGATATATATAAAATATTAAAAATTAAAATAAGTTATAAGTTATTATAACAGAAAAAAGTAAAAACAGATGCATCTTAACAAGAACCCTAAACCCTAAACTAAAATAAATGTCTGGAAGCAAAAATCAACACAAAGTAACTCAAAATAAAGTAATATACAACAATAATATTCAAAATCAATTCAATAAAGACTTCCTAACCCACTGACAAAGTGTAGATTTTACGATATGACATCATTAAAATGATTTGTATGAATATGTATATTTTGTATTTATAGTTATTTTCATTATTTAGAACACGGATTAAATTTCAACAAAAAAAATTGCTCAAATTAAATATAAATTTGACAACTAAATACTAAATCAATGATTATTCATGCACACTTATGATTTCGGTAATTGTGTCTTGAAACAGTATACACATACATATAGAGTGCGAATACAAATAAAAGGCTGATCACAATCAAACACACTAATCATATCCTGCCGCTATTACCATGTGATGATCTAATATAAACATGTGCTACATATGCTATTTCTAACACACATGATCAAAACATGCCTGGTGAAAGTCTTCTGCTTTAATAGTTTCTCAAGTTCAGTTAATCCACCTCCATCAGAAGAATTGATTGGAGCATCACTTTCACCAACAGGTTCTTGTTGCATGCCAGATGAATTGTTTGCAACCTGTTTTCTCAAGTAACAAAATGACAAAGCAAAATGATGATGAGAACAACAAAACTGTTTCACCAACCAAAACAGAACATTGCAGCTCCAATGCTGCATAATCAGTAGAAATGAAAACAACCTTTCCAACTCCAATACACATCACATCACCCCACCCCCCAAAAGCATATAAATCCTCAATAGACGCAAATGGTATCACAACATACAGGGAATGTGCATACTTACAAAAGCAGCTTCTTCCTGATTATTGTTCCTCACTTCCTGTTCCGTTTCTGTGCCCAAAAAAAAACCCACAAAATGACAACAAATAACATGAATAAAAAATCTTTAATGCACAATTCTTAACAATAAGAATAATAATCTAACTCCCGCCCTGTGCTTAACACTGACGAAAGCGACATTAATTGGAAAGTAATTAGCAGAATGGCGAAACAAGTGAAGCATGCACTGAAGAATTGATAAGTAATGAACCCTAACAACAATGTCAAAGGGAGAACCTGGAGAAGGTGGTGGAAGGCGCTTGCGGAAAAGAGAGGAGAAGAGAGAGTGGGCGCTGTAAGTGATGAGCCTGTGAGCGGGAGCCACCAGCTTCGAGAACCAACGGTTGTTAGTGTTAGGGTTTGTGGGGAACGTTGGGGGACGATCGTACGGCGTCGTTGGGGTCCTGTTGCGAAAGGAGCGTTTGCGGAACTTGCCTCCTGCTCCCCCTTCGTATGCCTTCCCGTTCTCTTCCGTCGCCATCACAGGGAGTGTGTTAGTTCGGGGATACACAAAAAAGCAGAGTACAACTTAGGGTTTTAACTAACATGAATACAAATCATATTTTAATAGAAAAAGGGGTAAGGTGAAAATTGTTTTTAAAATATCCTATTTTTACTCATGTTAATGAATATTTATTAATTTAAAAAAGTTTGAGAATTAAAATACAAATCAATAAAATATTTTAATATTTTTAAATATAAACTTTTTTTTATAAAATTTCACCAAATAATTTATATCAAAATAGATAGAATTATAAAAATAAAAATATATTTTAATGTCTATTAAGAGACATCACTATTTTTAATTTTTAAAAAGTGTTTTTTTTATTTCACGTGTCTTATTTATGTACCTTTTCTCTCTTCCATTGAAAGTGATAGTCTATTTTTTCTATATATAATATTTTGTATAACTTTCTTCTCTATAACAACTCTCTTCTCTCACTCTTGATTTCACTACGAAGAATCTCTTTATTTTGAAGAGTCTCTGTTTCTTGTATAGCAATTGTCACACTCGAATGCCTTCTCTTTAGTTAGATTTCAACTCTCTTATTTTCCTTTTCTTCTATCTTTGTAATTCATATTCTATTTTTCAGAGTCTTGTTTCATTTCTTTCTTGTTCGTTTGTCTTTGTTATTTGTCAGTGTTTTTCTTTGATTCTTGATTTTTTGTGTGGTCTTGCAATCGATGGACATGAATTTTATCGTTTCTCGCTCTGGTGACCTTTGTTGGAAGGTAGAAATTAAAGTGATGATATTTACTATTTTTACTTGTTTCATTTCTTCTTTATTATTGTGTCTTTATTACAAGCTAGAGTTTTTCTTTTTGTTTTAATGTTCTTTTATTGTGATGCAGTAATCGGTGGATATGGATATTACTGTGCTCTAGTGACGTTCTACTGATGAAAGGTAGAAGAAATTAAAGTGTTGTTATGCATTGTTTTTATTTCTATGTTTTTCAAATCAATTTCTTGTATCATTTCTTTCATATTATTGTTTTATTTCTTTCTATTGGAGTATAGTTTTCCTTATATGTACAACAATAGTGTAGGATTTATAGAGAAGTTTATGTTTTATGATTTTCTATTGTATTCTTAATCACATTTATTGTTTTTCATTATAAGCCAATAACTGATACAATCCAACATAAGTTGTTGGCTCTATATAAACACAACTTGTACTCTCTATTCAATTAGTGTGAAAACATGTTTTAATTTTAGAAATATTCTTTCTTTCTCTCTCTCTCTTAGCTTCTCTCTCTATATTTCTGTTACTTTGTAATCCTTGTGTCTTTGCTCATGAGAGTATCTATGGTATATGACCCCTATAAAGTCATCGTTGATCCTACATTCAAAAATATTGTTATTATATGTTCAATATTTTATTTGTTTATGATAAACAAGGTTGTAAGAATCTTTTTTGATTGTCCATGACTTTGATGTCAAAAATACTTGGTTGATAATATGATGGTTTATTCATCATGAGAGAATCTAAAATATACGAACTCAACAAATTTGCCCCTTGTTCCGGTATGCCTAAAAGTCTCACATCGCTTAGGAGTCGAGGCTAAGGGTAGTTTATAAACACTCTTCCTCCTTAACCCACCGAGACGCCTTTTCAAGGACAAAACCGTGACGGTCCAACGAGCGTCAAAGCGGACAATACCCGGATGCGGTGACCCTAACGATAACAGCGAACTTACGGTAGGAACATTGGCGCTAGAAGGAGGGCCCAGGCCACTCTTGCCCCTTAGCATCGACTAGGGGGGCTTGTTTTGGTATGCCTAAAAGTCCCACATCGCTTGTTCTGGTATGCCTAAAAGTCTCACATCGCTTAGGAGTCGAGGCTAAGGGTAATTTATAAACATTTTTCCTCCTTAACCCGCCGAGGCGCCTTTTCAAGGACAAAGCTGTGACGGCCCAACGAGCGTCAAAGCGGACAATACCTCGGATGCGGTGACCCTAACGATGACAGCGAACTTACGGTAGGAACATTGTAACCGTCGCCTTGTTCTTGGAAACGTGTAGGCAACGCGTTTAATGAGGAGTCACGGTTATGTAATGATGGTCGTGCTGACAGATAAGCATACGCAAAGGGTCACGACCACTTGACGAGCTCGGTCTTAACTCCTCGACCTACGGTCTTCGGAGCTCGGGGGGCTCGTGTACTATCTGTACCGCTATGCCAAGCTCGAGCTCAGTATCACAGCGCAGGACGACCTCGGACATGCGTTGGGAGATCTCGGTCTAGACCAACGAAACCCTAATTCACACCAAGGTACGTGCATTACTTATACGAGACTCATACTCTCACAAACCCTAACTTTAGCATCGGAGTCTCTTTTGTATGTACCACCCCCATCTTGGAGCATCAACGTACCAGTGAAGGAGGCTCACCGATCTTACCCAGCAGATCATCCCTACCTCGGATTCCCGGTAAGAACACCCCTAATTATAAATTCACGAAAAATTGGTTACTATTATATGGTGATTTTTTTAATTAAAGATTATGGAAAATGGTGTAACAATTTTTAATGGTATCACTAACTTTGATGTCAAAAATATATGGTTGCAATTATGAGATGAAATTTTTATTTATCATGAGAAAATTTAGGATATATGAATCTTACAAAAAAAATTCCTAATCTTAAATCCAAAAAACAAAGTTGTTATTGTATGATGAATATTTTGTTGACATATGATGAACATGGGTGTAAATTTTTTTCATAATTGTCCTTCTCTGACGTGGAAAATATTTCATTGTTAATATAATATTAATTTCTTATTCATTAAGAGAATTTATATGAAAAGGGTTCAAATAACATTGATACAACTTTTACTAACTATTATATTGCTCAATAAATTTTAATAAAATATGAATTTTGTTGATTTAACGATTAGATTATAAAGATAATGAAAAGTATTTTTTAATATATATAATTAATTTTTAAAATTCATAATAATTTTTAAATAATAATTAAATATGTTAATCAAGAGATGAATTATTAAAGTGTAACATGTTTAAATTTGTCAAGAGAGAAATCTGTTTATTCTCATCAGATATTAGTGTAAAGATTATTTTGGTAATAACATTTTCTTTTGTCACAAAAGTCCATAGAACTTTAATTAAAAAATTAAAGAAATAGACAAAGTGTTATGTATTTGAATCTTTCAAGGAAAAAGATCATAATTCTTGACGTAAGAGAAAAATATAATATAATATTCATATTTATCAAAAGAAAAAAATGTAATATATTCTATTTCTAATTATACAAAATAAATACTTTTTTATATATTTACAAAATTATTCAATTGTTGTTATGTATCGGAATCTTTCAAAGAAAAATATCATAATTTTTAACGTAGGAGAAAAATATAATATTCATATCTCTCAAAAGAAAAAAGTGTAATTTATTTTATTTTTAATTATACAAAAATAAACACTTTTTTTATATATTTACAAAATTATTCAGTTGCATTAAAAATTCACCTAGAATATTTGTTATACAACTTATAAAACTTAATATAACTTATATAACAAATATCGTGATAAAAAAAATAGATATCATATTACACTGTCAAAATAATTCAAACATAGCATGAATAACGAGTATTATTTTAATAATATGATCTGGTCTTGAACCGGGCACGTTACAGCGTCAAATAAAGCACTTGTCCAAATTCTCATAGATAATAGCCTCCTACTTGATGCAGTTAATGTTTTGGTGTTCTATTTTCTTATGGAACCTGCCAAATGGTTATGTACACAAAAGCACAAGAAACCCATGACATGAAGATTGGAATGACCCTTGACAACAGAAAAATCAGTTTGAATGTCTTCTACATTGGCAGATATTACATCATTATTGTAACATATTAAATTAAATATGGTTTATCATAATCGCCAGCCATGTCTAGAAACATATTTGCATTTGTTTGGCAATATTTATATTATTCAGTAAAACATTTTAACGGTTCTCTTAGAACTATAGATAATACGAATTTCATGATGAGGAATCCTAACATATACAAGACAGAAAAAGAATGAGACTGCCAATGATACATCATTGCTGCAAATAATCACCTCCCACTTGAACACATGCGAGAGACCAGTTTGATAACTTCCCACATGGGTGCATCATTCTGCAGTTAATAATTTGCAAGTTACAGATGGCTATTAAATCATTCCTTCTCCACCAAAATAATGATAATTTAGTTTAATATGATGTTATTCCTCATAATTGCAGAGGCACTAAGTAAAAAGTAACAGGATCCATCTCATACAATAGGAATAAGGAATCTAAATATATTGTACCATACATCCAATCTACTTACCACGAAAACAACATCAAAAGCTTCTCGATAGCAGCTAAGTGAGTTCTCAATGTTGTGGTTCCTGCAACAATAATTTTATATGATTGGGCATCTGTATTAATTAATTACAGGTTTTGATACTACCACAAGAACTAGGAAAAAAATTATGTAAAATTTCAGATAATGCATGTAGAAGTTAAAAACTTAAAGATAAAATCAGATAATCCATGGAAGGAGGGGAAAGGAGCATAAAAATATAATTATCATAGCTGGAATCTTGCTGTGACAATAGGCATTGGTCGTTGTAATTACAAACTTCCAGTTCCCTTCTATTTTCTGAGCCTTTCTTCATTCAATGGAAAGTTAAAATTAATTAAGAAAAAGACGCATACTTACATGTGTGCTGGCAAACAGTAGCATACACAAGTCAACTAACCCTCTTTTCTAGATTGTGCAACAGTTTGCAGCATAGAACACCTCTATTTTGTTATTTACTTTACTAGTATGCAATGCCTTCAAATTACTAATTAAAACACATATCTAAACAAAATTTAAACATGAAAAACTTATGACAACTAAAAATTTCCGCATCTAAATTGAAAATTACACAGTCAAAATGCAAAATCAGAATAATAGGCTTGTTCCAAAAAATTTTACCAGCAGTACCAAGAGACTCAGCACTTCCCTTTCAAGCCAAATAATAGTTGAATGCAACAGGGGAGCAAAATTCTCAGCAACTAAAGAATCATTTGCAAGGGCAAATAAAATGAATTGAACTTGGCCTGAGAATGCAACATTCTTAACTGACACGGGAAATGTCCCACCCCAAAAACAGGGAAACAATAGAAGAAAACTATTGAGAACAAAGGGGCCAAATATTAATGCAATGACACAGGACTGCGACTGAAAATATGCAACAAATATAAAGGGAGTAAAGTAATAAAAACCGCGACAGCCCAAAATACCTTGATAAAGCTAAATACAACGACACAAAATGTGAAGGATTGAGATAAATGGTACAACAGCTGTTTACAACTTGGAAAAGACAATTTCAGAGTGATACAACTGATTACATAAGAGAGCATAGCACCACGAAAAACATGCCCCAATAATAATCAGTAGAAAAGGGATTTTGCAAAGTATTAAACTTCACTTAAGAAGCAGAAAATAAAAATGAAGAATTCCTCCTACGACAAGCCTAGGTTTAACATTCAAAAACAAAAGGTAATAACTGTTTAGATAAACATTTTGCTATACATGCTTGTTAAATTTAGAGACATTGCCAATTTATCATGGTACCCGGACTAACTGGCTTAAAAATGTCACAACAATATAGGGATCAAGTCACATTCATAAGTACCCTGTAGACACTAACTGAGCTCAAATTTGCATGTTACTCAGGTAATTAGAAGATATGAAATTTGGCAAAGCAAATTTTTAACTTACAGGAATCCCATGGATATTCGAGTCTCATAATTTAAACCATCAGACATTCCCAGGTCTCCAATGTGATCACCAAGAAGGAGAACATTGGTTCTCTTCTTGATCGAGGCATTGTCATCAATAGGACCATCCACATATCCCAATCTCTCATGAACAGGAGCAGCCATATCAAGAGCATGCTCATTTTTATTTAAGCTGTGGATAACTTTTCCTGTAATTGAAATTTATAAATAAAAAGTAAGAACTAATTTTATTATGTAAAGATGTTAAAGCCCCCCAAAATTGTATTTTATCCAAAATACTCCAATCCCATTCAACAACAAGCACTGGGATATGAAAATTTTACTTTCAAGTACATAACACAATTATACATGAAAGCTGATATCAATTTATGGAGTTACAGTTAAATATTTGTTTTAAATTTTATGTCCAGCACAGCAAAATATTTTATATTTCTGCAAGTTTTTTTCAGTTTTCTGTTGCTGAGATCCTTTTTAATTTTTGTGTGAATTTTTAACTTGCATGAGATAGATTTATTAAAACCAAAAAGAAATTAATCTGTTAATCCTAACTTGCAAGAGCAATATGTTATTCAATTCTAGGAAATGGATCATACTAAAGATAAATGTCAATTCAACCAACATTTGAGTCACTTTTCATATATTTATTGGGCCCGATAGCAAGAAGTGGTATCATTGGTGTTATGATGAAAATATCCTTTGTTAGAGATTCTAGAATGCTATTTGCTGACCTGCAATGCAAGAGATCGGTCATAAATGTATCCAAAGTGTTTATATTTTGGGAATAAGGGATTTCAAGATCACACTCAAAATAGCGGTCACGGTATTTGAGCAAGCTGCCATGCTACAATGTATAAGCTCACCCAAGTTTTCTATCACCCCCCCATAATAATAACCTGTATGATACAGCACATAAGGAACTGAGATAAGATAAATTTCTTTAGCTGTTTGTTCTCCTGAGCAAAGAAACCTTTATCAAAGTATGCAATAAACCTTGCAGGTTTCAGACACTTTCCACACAACACTAAGTGACATATCATCCATTGTGCTTCGTGTTTGTCAGGCATTCATGGTGAAAGACATCGTGGACCATGCAATGTTATTTTACCCTGCCCACTCACCAAGGTGTAAGCAGAAATAAATAAATAAATATATTGCTTTTCTCTATTGACAGCAAAACCTAAAAGCACTTATGTAATGTATCAGCTCAGAAAGATGTATTAGGATATGAAAACCTAGATTAAAAGCCAAAAAATATGTAGCTAATGAGTGCAGGAAATAATAGAATCACCTTTAAAAGATACAAGATGGCCACCATCGTCAAATACCATTCTGTTAGATACTATCCTCACATTCTTGAAGGATCTGTGAAGTTTCTGCCTAAGGACCTGTTATTATCGGAAAGAGCAATACATGCAATTGAGAGGCATAAACAACAATAGAGAAGAAAATGAAGAGCTTATGTTCAGCAACCTTGCCACTCAAAAAACAAAATTAATTTTTCAAACCTCTTCAATGATATCAGCGAGCCCTGCAGAAAATATTAACACAGGAATGTCTCTTTCCTGAAAATTACAAAATAGAAAATGGGAACAGGTGTCAGCAATTGGATTTTCACATATCCATATTACATTTCATAAATTCACCTGATATACAATGCACACACATGCAAGAACTTATATCTGCCAAAGAAGGATGAGAAATATACCTCCAGAAACTCAAAAAGTTCAGAAACACCTTCCCTGAAAGCTATGTTGGCATTAGCAACTGATTGTCTTATTGATTCGTACGTGAGTCCTCCCTCAACAAGAAGACCATGTGTTTTTCCCCACCTATACACCAGATTTAGAGTTTCAGCAAAAAGCATTAATGTCAATACTAAATGTCACCATTCAACTTGGTGCCTATATCTCCACCATTGTTAAATTGAATCACATACCACTCTTCCATGAGCTTAGTTTTCTCTTCAAGTCCAATAGTTGGTGAAAATTCTAATGGATGGTAATATTCATATAACTGCTGCCTTTTGGCATCATATTCCGGATTTCCCTGCTGCAAAAGGCCATGACTGCCTAAACAAGTACAAATAATTCTATAAGATATGACACATATCAAAATTCCCAATGACAGATTTATTTTTTATTTTCATGCATCAAAGGGAACCCAAAAGAGGGAAATAAAACTTTGAGGGAACAACATACTTTGGCCACGAGTTCCATTGACCCAAAATTTTGTTAACGTAGCATCAAAATCAGCAATCACCTGGTACCATTATTCTGTTAGTACAATCATAAAAGTAGAAAAATATTGTACCGGGAAAAACTGAAAAAATAAAAAATTAATCATCAACAGTGAATAAAAAAAATAAAAAATTTTGAATGGTACCCATTTTTATATGCCACCACAGTGAGCCAATTCAATAAGCACACAATTAAATTAATCATCAACCAAATGCATGCAGAAACCTGAAGCTTCTGGGGACCAGCCAAACGAATTGCCTCAATTTTCTTCTCTAGCAAAGCAGGGTCAGCCACCAACAAGTCTAAAGCAACCTTCCCTTCCTCCATTTGCAAATCTCTCCCGCAACTAAAACTAGAAAACGATACCCTTTAACAAAAGAGAAACAAAATACAAACTTTAACATATCGGCGTGCTATAAGAGAATGAACAAAAAATGGGGTGCTCAGAAAATGAACCTTGCGGGAGTGTAACGCGAAAGGAAGGGAAAGTGACGTGAGCGTAGTTTGGTTACGATGGTGCTTTGAAGTTGGAGGCGATGACACATTATAGAGTGAGTCAGTGGAATCGAATCAGTTCGAGTTCAACGCCCCTTTAATATCACACACACATGTAAAATCTTCTAAAAAAAATTTAGAAATCAAATGATTATTAAATTTATCTCTAAATAATAATAAAAAACAAAGATTAAGCCAAGTTTTTATCGAATATTTCCACCCTCGAATGTCTTCGTAGGTTCAATAGGAGAAATAAAATATTTAGTCCAAACACGAATGAACAATTAAGAGACATAATAATACTTGAAAGAGATTTCAATTGTATAAAGAGTTTACCTATATACATTTGCTCTGATTCTGAACCGTAAAATATTAAATGATACATTAATTTATTAAATAGCCATTGTGGAAAGGAATCAAGCAATAGAAAGAGAAGGAACAAATGTTGAGTTTGAGCACATATAAACATGCTTAGAAAAAGTTCTTTTGTTAATTTAATTGTGATAGTTTTAGTAACGAAGGAGAAGTAGATATGTACTGCACAAAGAAATAAAACAAATGAAGGAAAAATAACAAATATAAAAAATAAAAACATATTAATACCGGAAAAACATATTTTTTTTTATGTGGATCATTTTAATAAAAAATTAAAAAATTATTAATTTTTGTAATGATGAAGATGGAATAGTCGAATATGACATAGAACAACTCAACAATTTGTAGAATTATAATTATAATAATATTAAATTTTCACTATTACTCAATAATAGTAAAATCATATTATAATTTTGCTTTTATCATTATATCAATCTCTGTATCGGTACGTAGGTATTCGTTAAGTAAATGTGTGTGTCTTTTTTCAATATTTGCAAATATTTATAAATCTTTATTTTTTTTATAAATATTTTAATAATAATCTCTATTTATTTATTTAAAAATAATAATTCAAAAGTTAAATTTTGAATTATTCAAATATTGTACACAAATTTATTAATCAAGATTATTTAATTTAAAAACTAAATTTAATTATTAAAATACTTAATTCTTATATAAAAAATACTCTACGAATACTATAGTATCCATATCTATTTTGTTAATATGCAAGTATAAAGAATACTCATATTTATTATTTGTGGATATTCATTTATAATATTCATCTTTTATTTGTAATGAGTTTTATCAATGAATATACGAAGGTATGAATTGTTTTTATATTCCTAATTATAGATAAGATAATTTCTTATGAAAGTAAAAGATGTTTATTTCAACCATTGAATTATAATAAATAATTAAAATTTAATTTTCTTTAAATATATCTCATGTGTCTCTTAAACCATGCTAAATATTTCAATCCCTCCTACTTACACATTCACCATTGTTGCGACCAACAATGATGATACCAGTAATATTTGGTAGTGATATGACAATAGTAATAATACTAGTAGTAATAATGATGATTTTCTTTAATTTTCAATTAATGACACTCTTAACTACGATTTTAGTTCCTAAATTTAATATCAATCATTATATATCAAATGTAAATTGTTGAGTGTTTTTAGGATTATTTGAGGAGAACGTTTTTTTAAAAGATTCTTTTAACTCTTATTTAATTAAATTTTTTGTTTATAATATTTATTCATGAATTAAAATTTAATATTTAAAAAATACATTATTTATAACTAAACATAATCTAAATTTTGTGTTATAAATTATTTATTTTTAATTGGAAAAATATTTTATATGTTGAAAAATAATAATGTATATAAATTTTAAATATAATTTATATATTTAAATATAATATTTTATTTATATATAATTTATTATAAATTTTAATTATATATAATAAATATTTAAGTATGTAACTCTATTTGCATCCGGTAAATGTTTGGAGAAAATCCCAAAATAAAAAATTCTAACAATAATCAGACATACTAATTTTAAAAATTTAAAACTTTATCTATACTTTTCACTTTATTGTGAAATCGAGGTACTTCGTACTTCTATTAAAGATAAAATAAAAAAAATTAAACAATAAAAATATATTGATCTAACTAATATTATAATTAGTCTATTAATTTTAAATTATTGAATTTGATTAAAAATATTTATTTATTTATTTTTTAAAAGTAAACTAATATAATGTTCAACAAAATATAAAGATTAAAGTGATTACTAAAATAAGTATCTCCTTTATATATTAGTATAAATAATAAATATTAAGCTCTTTAATTTTTTTTTACAATGATATGTGATAAAAAATTAAAATTAGGTAAAATAACATAATAAGTTATTAAAAAATAATATCAACCTAGTTTAGAAAAAAATGATTGCTTAATAGTTTTAACTGAATTTTCATATTTGAGTTTTTTTGGTTTACTTTCTTAATGTACATATTTACAGATCAACAAAATATACAATATATTTATACCATTACAAAATATATAATATATTTATACCATTATAAAAGAGATATTGCTTATGATAGCTATTTATATTTTTTTATTTTTTATTTTTTTCTTATTTTCCTAAACTTTCTAAAATTATTTTTAAAAAAGTAATTTGTCTCTTCTTCTTTTTAATTTAAAAACTACAATGATCATTTATAAAAATAATTATTTTCTTCTTTTAATAAAGTATAGACACTAATAATTTAATAAAAAGAAAACATGTAACGCTAATTTGTGAAAGACGAAAACGTTATTTAAGAAAAGTTTACATCAAAACGAACCTAAAAAGATGTAAAAGCAATTACGCATATACTCTAACGGTGGCCCCCTCACAAATCAGGAACGTTCTTCACAAACTTTCTCTTTTCCAAAACAAAAAAAATACAAATAAATCACACTTTCTTTTCTGACTTATTGATTTATTTATATTTATTTATATTAAAAAATCATTACCAAAAAATATTAAAAATAAGGTTCCTCCATCTAATCTAAAACCGAAGACACGTGGCACGCATTCAGCTGCGAGACTTTTTTTTTTTTTTTTCCTAAACACTTGGAATTTAAAAATGATTAAGCAAATATTATAGCCGTTGGAACTCTGTCACATCACACAAACGCACACTCTCTCTTACTCTGTCTGAGGAATCCAAGAAGAAGAAAATCATTCAGACAACCAAACCCATTTCATTTTCCTCTGTTTAACAGATAATTCCGTTCGAGAATCTCACAGAAAAACAAAAAAAAAAAAATGAAGGGGATGAAAGGAAAGTTCATGAAGAAGCTCAAATCGATCAAACAAGTGGGGTATCTGAAGCAAGATCGAATTCTCCAGCTGAAGGCCTCAGATGGGTACGTCGATTTTCTTCCAAAGATTCCGACTTTCAATCTCCACTCCCCGTTTGTTTCCCGAGAAAATAAGCCTGAGAAAGTTGTTCAGGAGAAGAAACCTGAGATAATAGATGTGGCGGAGCTGATGAAAGACCTTGAAGAAGAAGAAGAAAATGATGAAATGGATTTGGATGATTACAATGACAACAAAGAGAACATAGGTCCGTGTTCACAGAAACCCCCACAACACAACAAGGGTGCTTCACAGAATGGAAACAGAGAAAAAACAGAGTCAAAACAGAGAGGGGTTTTGGGAGAAAAAAGATCTTCACCAAGAGGTGGTAGTAACAGTAACAGCAACGGCAACAGAAAAATCCCTTCGTTAGAGAATGATATTCCGGCGTTCCGGCGGCCGGACTTGAACTCCGGAAGCCTTTTCGATCCGAATTTGCTTGCAGCGTTCGAGCAAGCGGTGAAGGATCATGCTAGAATGGAAGAAGAACAAAGGAGAGCCAGAGTTGAAACAGAGTCTCCACAGAGAGTTGAAGATGATGACCCTGACATTGACCCTTTGATGTCCTTTGAGGAGAAGTGTCCACCGGGGGGCGATGGCACCGTGATTTTCTACACCACCACGCTTAGGGGAATCCGAAAGACGTTCGAAGACTGCAACAAAATTCGCTTCCTCCTCCAGAGTTTCAAGGTTTTGTACTTTGAGAGGGACATTTCAATGCACAAGGAGTTCAGGGATGAGTTGTGGAGCAGTTTGGAGGGGAAATTGGTGCCTCCAAGGCTTTTTGTTAAGGGGAGGTACATTGGTGGGGCGGAAGAAGTTTTGAGTTTGCATGAGCAAGGAAAGCTCAGGAAAATATTTGAAGGGCTTCCAATGGATTGCTCTAGTGGTCCTTGTGATGCATGTGGAGGGATAAGATTTGTGTTGTGCTTCAAGTGTAATGGAAGTCACAAGGTCATGGAAGAAAATGGAGAGAGCAATGAGTGCCCTCACTGTAATGAGAATGGGTTGATTGTGTGTCCTTATTGCTGCTAGCTGATGGAGAATATCAGTTAACACTTATGTCTTCTACCTACAGTAAGAGTTTGTACTTAATTGAATTTGTGGGAACTGGATTTTTTTTTTTCTTTCTATTTTTGGGTGGTGGTGATTCTTTCAATTTTTTTTACTGGTGATAGGCACTTGCATTGCCTATTTGTACTGTTCTTGGACCAAAAATCTGAAGATCTTCAAATTTCAGATTTAGTGTGCCTTTCCATTGTATCTAGTTTTATACCTTATCATAAAAGGATTCGGCTGGTTGAAATGTACGAATATTCTAGTGCATAGGATAAGTAAATTTTATTGATCAAATTACACACTCCAAAATGATATTCCTGTCTTGTTAACATCTAGTTATTTAAAATACATTATCCTGATACTTTCTATTACTCAATAAACATATCACTTGTCGGTTACTATGTTATTAATATGAAATTTTCATGGATTTTGATAATTAATCTCGGCTAAGAAACCTAATTGATCATTTTTAATAGAGATCTTTGTTTCATCCATGATACGGAAACCAAGACTTTACTTAACTATGTTTCTTGCTCCCTCTCACTCAAGAAACACATTATACAACATTTCCCATGTTAAAATGCCAGAAGTAAACTGTTAAATCTCTGTTGTGTAGACAGATGCATAACCAATAATGAGAAACAAGAAAACTACAATAACATAATCACCAATAAACTAAATTAGAATATCAGCATTATGCAGTAGCGTAAGGTCTTAAGAAAAATAAGGATGCTGGGAACCTTTGCTTTTTACTAATTAGGCATTGAAAGTTGAAACTGCTGCATGTTGAATCCCACTAAAAACTGTAACAGAAAGTTTCCAATACTCGTTACCTGGTTCATTATGTCTTCGATAGGTTTCATCTTATCGTAGTAATCACCATAAATAAATTCATAATTCGTTTTGAAATAGTAAAAAGACATTAATTGACCAATACAGTTTAGTCTCATTTTCTCTCTATAACGTAAAACCATCAATAAATATTAATATTCCCCTAACTTTATATGTACAGTTACATCTCTGGATGGCTTAATTATTTTAAACATTTCTTTAGCCTGCTCCTTAATTTTTACCCTGCACTATCTCCCTCTGTGCTCAAAGGCTCAACATGTTGCATCATCATCAAAACCCCTTTGTTCTCTCATTTTCAGCATTGTTTTTAGCATTTGTTTGTCACTGTTCTGCTACCAATTTCATAGTGGGGGATTCAGCAGGCTGGATTATTCCACCATATCCAACATACTACAATAATTGGTCACATTCTCATATCATAAGAGCAGGCGATATTGTAGGTAAAAGCCTGATAAAAAAATGTTCTAATATTTGGAGGATTATGTCTTTCACCTTTGCTTTGATATATAATGTAGATAGGAACATAATAGAACAATAGGATAGTTCAATTCCTTCCGTCCATAAGATATCTAAATTATTTCTCATGGCTATAAATGATCAATTCTCCTAAAACTGTTGTATCTTTTGAATCTTTATCCTCTAGCATCATCAACAGGCTGCAGGTTATTTACAAAATTATATTCTTTCCAGTTTAATTAATATATGTCATTTGATTACTTCCGGTATGTGGATTTTCATTCCGTTAATAAGCATACATGATATATTTGACATCTTTCTAAAAATGTGCATTTTGTATTTGATAAATGACGACGGAGAGGTACTTTCAGAATTATCTCTATAAAAGGTACATTTGATATAACAATTTAATTTAGGCTAGAACACATGAATTTGGATCTTTCAAAATGTACAACACACTATATATACAGAATAGAAGACATAAAACAAATTTTGCTGATAAAGTTAAGGACCTGTAATCGATTTTACAAATTGTTTAGCTGGTTATATCAATTTTCTCTGTCCTCGATATTCCAGATCAAAGGTTTGGTGGAATGATGATTGCTTGAATTATTGTATATCTTTACAAGACATGTACCCTACTTATTATTATTGCTAAATTTAGCCCATGGCAGCTCTCATGAATTTTGAAATGTTAACGCAGAATTCAAGTTCGATGACAAATTCTACAACCTAATTCAAGTATCACAGCAAGAGTACGAGCATTGCACATCACTTGAGCCTCTAAGGATATTCAACAGTAGTCCAGTAATTTTACCATTGAAGGAGAGAGGTGTGTTATACTTCACATGCAGCATCTCAAACTACTGTTGTCTGGGCCAGAAGATTGTGATTTACGTCCACGATCGTCCCCTCCCACCACCACCACCACAATCACCATCACCTTCTCAAGCACCAATCACAATCTCTCCACAACTATCACCAAATGCTTTGGTTCCTCAACCTCAAGGATCTAGCCCTCCATCTCCAACTACAAACACACCAGGAACTAATGGTGGGAACCCTCCTGTGCCATCTTCCCCTCGAGAGGGGAAGTCTAATGCAGTGGCATTGATTGGTGGGAGAAGTTTCATTGTGCCAATGTGGCCACTCTTGTCTATGGTTGGTGTTTTCTTTGGATTTTGGATGATGTAGGGTATAGGGAGGTACAATATGCATGCATGCATAAAGGGTACGTGACTACGTGCATTTTAGGTTAATTAGATTGATATTATAGAGATTTGGTTTTAAGTTGAGAATTTCATCATATGGTAGTTTTGTAAGGGGATATTTGGATTTTCTTTCATGCCTTTTAGTTTGTAAGATCTTGAGTTTGGATTCCTTTAATGGAGGCATTGCTGGCTTCTTGTTTAGATATATAAATGTATGCTTCTCGATGATTTTGTAGAAATACAAGAATTGAAGGATGGGTTAATGTGAACATGTTTTCCTCAATACCAACGAAGATTGTGACAGAAGTTTATCTTTTATAAGCGAAGGACTGTTACAAAACTTCACAAAACAAAAGTGTATCTCAACCCCTTTATAAAACAGGCATCAGTCTAGATTAACCAAAATATTTCATACAAATAAGAGGATCAATAAACAGTACATCACATTTCCAAAACTTTTTGAAAGTGAAACCTATTGGCTATTATATATCAACACATTTTCATCCTATATTGTAATTAAAGGAGTATGTCTGTAATGATCTCATCAAAATCTAAAATCAAAATGATAAAAAAGGAACAATAGGATTGAGGACTATGCAAATTAAAGTGAAATCATTTAGCAACACATTATATCTAGATATGTTTATACTGCAATGTAAGTTATAATTAAATAAACATGTCTGAATTAACTTGAGAGATGTGTCTTTGATACAATGCTCCTATAGTTAAGTACACCTATGCATGATTTCTGTATTGACTTCAAGCGTTGAAGAACCCTTAACGAATATCCACTCCTGTACATCTCCACGGTAGTCATCACCTTAATGAAGCCTAAAGGAACAATAATAGCATAAGAAAGCAACTTCATTTTGTCAGCAACTCAGACTCCTTCTAGTACAATATCCATAAGTTTTTGTCTTCAACATATTAAGACACAGGTTCCAATTACTAATTTCGAGCAAGTGATCATTCAAAAGATTCCGAAAAACCAAATTTCCATAACTCTCTATTCCCAGTTCCCACAAATCAATTACAAAGAGGAAACATCCTTTAGCTACCGATTAGATTACCCCTAGATAAGTCCCATGGGCATGCTACTTAACAACACAGTGAGAGCATCCAATGCCTATAGACAGTATGCCCTGAACTTTTGAAAGGAAAAAGAAATAGTAATACATTTTTTTTATTGATTAAAATTTGTTAAAAACTATTAATCATGAATTAGATTCATTAAATTAAAGGTAAGATCCATAAAAATAAGGAATCTAGCTCAGTTGGTAGAGCAAAATATGTGAGTGTTGTAAACTCCCTTAGTACTTATATTTGATATTCATGATAATAAAAAATAATAATAAATAAAGTTTAACCACTCATACTAATCGTACCGAATTTGAACAGGTTTCCAATAGAAGATACTTATGGTCTATACCAAAAAGATAGTGTTCTCAAAAGAGTATTTTAGATAAAAGTGTTGTTAGCCTTTTCCTCTCCCCATTTTGCTTTCACTTCTCCCATTCATTAGAATCCAACAAATATGAAATAATTCCTTAATCATTACAAATGTTTACATATATCAGCTAGGTCTATTTTATTCCTACAAACTGGGCAGGTCAAATTGATTCTCAACCAAGGATCAACACACTTGACATGGAAGAAATGGCCACAGCCAGGCAGCACTCTCAATGAATCACATTCTTTGTAATCCATCAAGCATATGGAACAACTTGAAGAACAACTGCTAGTGCTACTACACCGTTTTCCTTTCGAGAATTGGAGACTAGGATAGCTTTGCACACTCTCATCTAAGCCTGGCTCAGGAGGCTCCACAGTGATTGTGATATGGTTGGAATGTGTGTCACCAATTGGCACAGATTGAGCAGTGGAAGAAGAATCGCGTGGAATATTAAGGGAACACATATAAGCGACAATTGTAACCACAAAGGTTAGAAAAATAAAGCTCACTAGCAATAACACAGACTCTTCTGAACCGTTCATCATATGTTCATCACAAATGAGAAAATGGTTTTTGTGAGGTTAAATGTGAATGTGCATTATGCATTAATGTATTTATGCATGTGTGTCTGACTTTGCTAATATAATGTCCGTAATGGTAAACCTATTAAGGAGTGACCTTGAACATTACCTTTTAATTTTCTGATGTTTTTCACATTGGGAAATGTATTTTGGCATGTACCCAACATTATCCTATCTTTTGTTTGCACTTTGCAGCAGCTGCGTACCGTTATGTTATTATAAGTTCAACAGGCTGACTCATACATCATATTTTTTTGGATGTTAGCTAATATATCTTCGATGGTTCTTATGATCGACCTTGACATCGATCTAATATATATCTAATAACAGTCTTAGCCAAAAATTAGGGGCAATATTCATATGATTTTTTTATTTTTTTTTAGTTTTTTCAACCAATCGAGATATATATAATTATAAAATTAGTAAATTTATCTTACATGGCGATTTGTGATAAACTAAATTAATAACAGAAAATTTCTTTATATTGTGAAGCATATTTTATTTTCTTATTTATTTATTCATATTCATTGTGGATGAGTTAAAATAGCAATATCCATGGAAGGTAAATATAGTTCGGTCATGCCATTTAGGCATTTACACTTTTTTCTTCCTTTCTGCCGTCGTGATTGGTTTAAAATTATATATTGATTTTAAAACTAAATATCTATTTGGTCTTTCTTTTGTCTTGGTTCAATATTGTTCTTCCCACACACGAATAAACTATTATTTATATGGTAATAGTTAAAGAATAATGATCATCATGATTATCAAATAATTGAGAAGTTAAAATTCAAATAGAAAGGACAAGACAATATAACATAAAAAAAGGAATTTTACGAAAAAAATAAAATACAAGTCGTAGTTGTTTTTTTTTTTTTTTTTTTTCTATCTACACAACCATGACTGGTGCTCTTGAATATTTAAGCAAAACTGCGTGCACACTATCATGAGACATCAGAGTAGCAAAGGGCAATGTTTAATTCAACAGAAGTGCAGAACAAATGATAGATCATACATTCCTAAGTGGGAACCTGAATATATATGCATAGTGACAGCTTTATGACATACAGAATAATGGAATAATATATTAATTGGAGGCAGTATGTGAAGGTTGAATGGATGATTTTCTACATATGGGACAAGTTGAATGGAACCTAAGCCATGGATCAACACAAGCAAGGTGGAAAAGATGGTCACAGTAAGGAAGTAACCTCAACATGTCAGTTTCTTTGTAGTCCCCTAAGCATATGGGGCAGCTAGAAGAAAGAGAGCTTGAGCCCTTCTTCTCTTTCTCAACTTGAGAGTAAAGAAGCTTGGGATAGCTTTCAAAACTTGTGTCAATGTGATGAAGGCGTAGGCCTTGTTCAGCTGAATCATCTTCTGCTGGAGCGTGACGTGATGGTGGAATACCAGACAAAATATTGAGCATGTTAGGACCACGTGCCATGCGAAGCCTCACACATGCAAAAGCCACCGTCACAAGTAAGAAGACCAACCCAATTACAAAGGCTACGCCATATGTGAACCCACTTGAGTCAAAATCATTCTCGTCCTTGTTGCTGCTGTAGTTCATTGGATCTAAATTTGGAATGGGATTGCTTAGGATTAATGTCTCCTTGATTTGGTCATTAACGAGGTTTAAACAAATTTGACGAGGTGGGCATCATAGTTTTGGGGGTCAACGTTTATCACGTCGTTTTCACGTATTAGCCTCTTTTTTAGTTTAATGTTGTTAATTATCTGTTGATTGGCTTCTCATTGTGCCAGAAGTTTCCATGTGGTGTAGGTTTGACAAGGACTTCGTGCAAAGCTAAATTCTCTATCGCTCTCTCTGTATTTGAATTTAGCAAGCTGACAATATACATGTATTTAAAAATACCAACATTGCGTGTACGGGGTTGCCGTTACAATATGAAACATTAAATATGGCTTTTGATTTGGCATAATTTTAAAGGATAAATATCTTTACAATAATATTAAAGTTGAATAGCATTGTACGAAAGAATTCTTATAATTATGGATTTTGATCTGATACTGGCTCATCGAATTGTTAATTCACTCATGAAAAATCATTTACTTTCCGTGACATTTAACTCTAGGTGAGGACTTGAATACCACGAAGCAAAAACTTATCATATGTAGCATGAGGAATTCATTCCAAATCCTATTTGAAATTTTTTCCTTTGGCAACTGAAGTTGCACTTAAACAATGATTGCATAATTAGCAAAGATTTTAATTTGAATTTGTTTTTTCTGATTAAGTCATCTTCACAGCATAAAGCTACAAACTCGAATAAACAATAATCCATGCGTGATGTTCATTCCCCCCAAAATTCAAATATTTTGAAACACTAAGCTCTTAACGACTACAAGCAAAAATATATATACAAAACCAAGGTCGAATTTTTACTCGAACAGCAACTGCAAAAACGTAACGGAGCGAGTTCACTTAGTACTATAATCACATTTTCAACTGATAAAATCCAACCAAATATCCCAATAAAATATCTCTGACAATTTTTTTAGCGCACCTGACTGAATGGCCCTTTATTTTTTCTGTTAAAATGGAAACAATCATTTCAGGATCAGGATCATTTGTTAGAAAATTCATTATGCTTTCGACCCAAACTGTCAAGCAATATCAAGTTTACCCGCATTTTTTTGTTCACAAATTCATGATGATTTTTCACATTCATGGGTTTAGCTAATATTAAATACAGCAATCGACTAAAATCATTTTATTGCAGAGAATGACATTGGGATAACGATGTGTATATATAAATTTCCTTTAAACACAACTTACAGGTTCCAAGCTTTCCACAAATTTCCAGCGATATTTTCCTTTTCCTTTTCCATATCATAAGCTTCATACAAATATCAAAGATGCTTCCACAAGGCTTATTACAACGGAAAACAAAGGTACTAACTACTAAGTCTATAATGCCAACATCAGACCAATTAAATCACTGAATCAATCAACGTTTCGAGATCTGGACATCTTTACAGGGCCTTGCTTGTGACTGCACTAGCTACGCCGTGATATAAAAAGCATACTTTAACCGCGTAAGGATGCCCGAGGAACAGCAGGTAAACCCAATTCATCCTCAGTCTGTCAGTATTAAAATAATGAATCAGTAACGGAAGGTACATAAAGGCAGAAAATAGAGTAATTTATTTAGTTTAGATTATTGTATACAACAACAGCATCAATAATCACTTGTCAGTAAGCATTTAGGCAGACCAACAGATGCTATGCCTAAGCTATACAAAGGCTGACACAGAGTGTTGATGAATCCTTTCCGCGAATACATAAACATAATTCTCAAGTGTATGGAACACATTGCCAAATAAAAGTTCCAGATAACCCAAAAACAGGAAACTAAACAGTGGTTCAAGCATATACTTACAAGTTGCATCATCATACATAAGAATGCAACTTTATCCATAAATGGTACAACGAAGAAATCAGTGGATGATGTGATGAAACTACCATCCTACTTACTAATTCAATTCAACTACAGCCACTTTAAGTAATTTAGCCTGAGGTCACCAGCTTCAATTTCTAGGAACCCAGGTATGCTAATTTTCAATATTCTAATCCCACCATTTGAATTTCTACAGAAAAATCATATTCAATTATATTAGGCAGTTTTGGCCAGTAATTGAATAGCCTAAGCTATCGTCTTTTTTTGAACTGCTTTAAGACCCAAAACCACATCCTTCTATAAAGAAAATATCATGCTGTCTAGACAGCCTGCAACAAGACTGCATTGAATAACAACCATTTTCCAATAGATTTTCAAGCATTGGGTAAATTATCCCATGCTCTAGCAATTTAGCTGGTTAATCACTTCTTTAGAGAAACAATGTCTACCCAAAGCCAACATACATGATACCATAACCAAGCTGCAGCCAAATTATATTCTAAATAAAGACACAACTCACCTGTTTTATTAACACCAAATAATTCGCAATAAAAACTGACTAAGTTCCCCTCACCCCAAGCCTCATCTTAAATAAGTTAACATCCACAAAAAAAGGCAGAATTATATTATCTATACTAGCAATTCATCTATATCTATACTAACAATAAAAGCAGTACCAATTTTTGGTGTCCACAATTTATTTTTCAATTTTATCCTTTAATTAATTACCATAAAAAACTGTACATGATTACTAAAAAGAAAAACTACTCATTAATTAACTAAAAAAAATTGTTATTCGCTCGAAGGAACATAATGCCTTTTCCTACTAGAATATATAAAAGGGCAAAACATTATACTTGGGCATTGGATCTGCCAGGGGGCACTGCTGTTTGTCCTGATGGAGCTGATGGTAAGTTAAGCTCTGCCTCCAAATCAGATTCTTTATCAGGTTGGAGGTATGATGGGACCCCATCAGCTTCAGTCTCATTTCCCATGTCTGCTTCAAGCGCATCAAGTTCTGTTTAACCAAAACCAAAAATAAAGAAACAGGTAATTAAGCTGCTTCTTGACAAAATTAATGGAGTACATGTTTTCAAAACCAATTTTAATCACACAGCTACAAAATTCCACAAGCCTACCCAACCGTGGAGTTTTGTAGGTGGTTTCCAACAAATATCTCAAAAAGACTAACCAAGTTTCTTAACTTACCACCCATAAGATCATCCTCATCAATGTCATCAGGCACATTATAGCTTCTACCCAGAGTCTCTTGGATTTCGTTACTTACATCCATGAGGTCCATCATCTCATCTTGCAAGTTCTACACATAGCACGAATTTACAGTTAAACCCTAATTTTTATAATATTAGCTAGACAGAAGCTATAAGAGAAAAAGAAAGAGAATACATACATCAATGTCTTGAATCTTCACAGTTTTCATCATTCCCTTCAACTCCTTGTTGGCAGTCTTCAAAGCTGACATCTGAAAAAGGGAAGAAATAAAAAAGAAAAAAGTTGTAAACAATTGAATATAAATTCTATATCAGAATTAAAGAAATTATCCTTTGTGGACATCATCTGATTCCTGAAAACTAAAATATACTAGAATTTGTTATAACAGAAGTATAAGGCATAATGTCAAACATCTTATGAAGAGACCCCCTCCCAAATGACAGACGATTCATCTCCTACCTCATGACCTACCTCTCATGAGGTAGGCAGCAGGTTCCAAACAGGGTACAGAAAAAGCTCCGCCTCGAACCATGCACCTTAAAGCGCTACCAAGACAAACGAATGTTTTATAGTGAATATGGGTACCCCCAATCAACTACATTTATATAGCATGCAAGTGTCATCTTCAAACTTCTAGAAATTTACAAATACTGACAGACATCTATATAATTTGAATTTAAAAATTAAAAATAAAAAAAATCATATATCAAAAGGTCAGCCCATTATTACACCAGGCTACCATTATTGTGGGGTTTAGAGAGGTTCAAACAAACACATCTTTACCTACCTAGCTAGAGAGGCTGGTTTCCTGACTAAAACCTGTGACCAATATGTCACAAGGCAGTACCTATGTGCCAAAGCTCACCCTCAGGGTAAATCATAAAACAAAAACCACAAAATTGAATAAGTTTCTGCTATGATCTAATTGCAAGGTATGAGACTTCAGTCCCAAATTGAAAGTATTAGATTCCAATTTGGGGCTTACAAGGCCCAGGGCTCTCCAACTACAACAGCTAGCTTTTGTATGTGGTTCTCCTAAGGTTCTTATCAGTTTCCCCATTCAATAAGCACACAGCTTATAAGCCTCATTGTTTAATAACCTTAGGCAAAACTGCAACAATGGCACACAGATGGATACAGGATAAAAGAGAGTTCAATATAAGGGTCACAAAGAAAACTACAAGTGCTTGGATACATACAGTTTGTTGAGCATCTTTAATGCCCTCAGAAGCAAATTGAACTTGATCAAGATTGAATGTCTGATTATACAGCATGTCACGCTGGCCCTCATACCTGATCAAAGGAGTAGTGTATTTCTAGATGAATATAGCTATATAATATTCATTTCAGGTGTATTGTTATATCCATAAAGTCATAATTTATTCCGTTTGCTTATGTTCAACTTAATGAAAGTAAAAAAAGCAAAGTACTCCTAGTCACTCTTAGTCTTGCTACAAAGAGCCTTTTGATTTAAGGAAAAACTATTACTTCATGAATATATAGCAATCACGTGTATATAAGGAACTAAGACAACATTTCAAATTTGATAAAGAAATCGTAATGCACATATTCAAATTGGCACGATTTAGGAAGCATAACAACATAAACAGCAATGAAGTCCTCAGATATAACATTATGAAATGAAGTACAATAACTTCCTATTTCGCAATGTCTAACTGTAATTGGGTGAAAATTCTAATGTCAAACATCAAAGTACAGTTTCTCTCCCCAAAATACCTGTTTCAAAGATGAATACAACAATTGTACAGTTTCAACATTCAGGGTGTGTTTGGATATCCGCTTCAAAGCATGGGAATGTGTGTTTTCACTTCCCAATGCATGAAATCCAAAAGCAACAAGACTATTGCTTTGAAGTAAAAGTGGGTTGAGTTAAACTCAACTTTTATCCAAACACACACTCACTCACTGGGCGACCACCGTTTTAATACAGCCACTGAAGTAATTTCCAATTTGGAGAAGGAAGGAGACATGGATGGGAATTGATGAAATGAAGTGGTAATTTGGTGAGAAAATTAAATGTATCAAGGGTAAAAATTAATTGGTTGAGTGGTTAATTTAATTTACATTTTAGTAACAAAAAAATTAATTATTTTTTTATCAGTTTGTTTATTTCAAGGTTGACTACATATCATGACTAGTACTTAACCAAATTTTAATATTTTTCATTTTAAATCACGTGGCTATAGTTGTGACTACAACAGCAATTTAAAACCTTAAATATATCCATAATAACTTTTAATTATTTTTAAGATTAAAAATATTAAACATGGCCAGGTATAAGTCATTCTACATCTTCAAGCATGGAATAAAATAATAAAAAATAATTATTTTTTGGTTACTGAAAAATATTTTTTTACCACTCAGCCTATTAATATTTCCCACTCATACATTTAATTTTCCCACCAAATTACCTACCATTTCATATCACCAATCCCCAGCCCCCACAAAGCCACATGTCTCAGATATATATAAAAAAAATGTCTCAAAGCGCCCGATCAGATCAACCCAGATTCCCCCAAAACAATCCCATGCCCCCCACTACCACAATCAACTCACGCACAGAGGATAACACCCCCTAATTCCCAAACTTACAATCTCTCTGCTGCCCCTGCATGACCTCACTCAAGTCATGCACACACAATCAATCTCCCCAACCACCACTCCCACAAGACTGGTGAATAAAATCTCTCCTCTTCATTAACCCCCTCTCCCTTGTCTCCTTTCTTCTCTCATATGACTCCTTTCTTGCTGCTAGTAGTCACAAACTCAACCACAATATTTTCTTGCCAACAGCCACAAGGTTGCATTCGGAGGAATCAGCCAATAGCAATCACAAACAGGTTACCAGGTTACAAACTACTTGAGAAGCTGAATAGAAATTGCAAAGCTGTAAAAGGTGGCTGACCGTGAACTGTGAAACTGTACAATCTTGTATTTTGCATTTGCAATAGGGTTTTTGTGGGGGAAAGAAATATCTATTGCAGATAAAACAATGTTTTTCGAACTCTGTTGTGGCCACAACAAAACATTTTGTTGCAGCTGAGACAAGAAAATTTTGTTCACTCTGGTATCACCTGACTGTTTTATTGCAGACGATTTGTATTCAGAATGATTTTTAAAACCCTACTTGCTATGAATTATCATCTTGGATCTATAACTTTTGCTTAATCAATTGACAATAAAACTATGACAAATAAATTAAGCAAACAAACAATGTATAAACTCACATTCGTTTTTGCTTAAGAACTCTCATGGCTCTAGCTTTAATAGCTTCCTGTGCCGGACCAGGTCTAGTTTTCTTAATCTGCTCTTTATATCTACTAAGCTCCACATCAAGCTTCTTAATCTTTTCTTCCACCGTATCACCTCGTTTAGTAATCTGTAACATATACACAACAGTTAGCAACTCAAGAAACTAACTCAATTAACCAGGTATAGGAACATAACACGGACGTAAAAAGCAAACGTAAAAATATAAATTTATGAAAAAGAATTAAGCAAAAACCAGCTCGACATTCGTTTAAACGGGGAAGCCGGTATATAAAAAAATCTTAAAACTGAAGCACGGTGTCTGAATAAAAAAATAAGTGTTTTACTCAACAGAATTACGAAGAAAAAAAAATCCAAACATAAATATTAAAGTGATATCAATACAGCATCCTAACTTACAAAATTAACTAGGATCTAAATTTCCTATTATTATTCATTCCATTTTAGGCTTTTGTCCATAGTGTCACGTACTATGTTTGTTGCAAAACGAATTTGATAATTAGATAATTTCATTCATTCCAAATGCATAAAAATGACCAGATCTAGGGGAGTGATGCTGTATGATTGAATAAACGAAATTGATAATCGAGAGAGAGAGGAAGAGAGATAAACCCTATCGTTAGCATCCTGAATGGTAGGAGGAGGATCCTTGTTCTTCTTGACACCGAAGACTCTCTTCATTGTTGGCGATCTCAATCTACGCCTTTGAAATTGAAGGCGAGAGAGAACAGAGAGAGCAATGACGAAAACAACGTAGATACTAGAGAGAGAGAGAGAGAGAGAGAGTTTGAAATTTGGGTTTTGCTTAACGCGATAAACCACGGAATTGGGATGCGAAGTTTCCCGTCAATTTCAGCAGTGTATTATAGAAGCTTCCGCCGAAATATTCCTATCAATCAGGGAAGTGTTGTGTTTGTTTAAGAAGCGTTGTATAAGGTGTACGTTCCGTTGCAACCGAATATAAAAGGCCCAAATCAAATGAGGCCTGGCCCAATTTATTATTGGATCGGATTAGGCTTTTCCTAAGCACCTCCTTCTTTTTTCTTTTCAAATTTTATTCCAGTCGGATACATTATGAAAATTAAATTTCAAAAATACGGAAATTTTGCTTACTTCGGAAATTAAATTTTAGGTTAAATACCTCTTTTGGTCCGTTACAATATTTTTTTTTTCAATTTAGTCTCACTTTAATTTTTGGTCTCAATTTGATCCTCAATAATTTAAATCGTTCCAATTTGGGACTTCCGTCTAAATGATTTAAACGGAGTTAACTGGTAGCCACGTGGATGTCAAGTGGATGCCACGTAGATGCCACGTAGGTGGATCCAAAAATACTTGAATACACCTGGAACCAGAATGGCCCGTTCTGAAACCAGAACGGGCTGTTCTGGTTACACTATTGGTGTGTAAAATTTGCACTTGGAACGGGCCGTTCTGGTCCAGAATTTCGTAAAAAAAAAACTAAAATACAAAGCATTTCAAACACTATATTTGGTAATATTGTTAATGAGGATTAATAACTTCAATTGCTAAACATTTGAGCTATACAGTATATCATTAAGGATGATGCAATGTATCACTAAAGACAATAGTAACAAGTTTTATTTCATTATTAGTCAAACTGGAGTGAATCACTTACTACCAAATTGACACTATACAATCAAGGATAAAACGAAACAGTGTTTTCCCTTGAAGTCATTGACGATGTACCTCAACAATAACAACCTGTTATTGAGGAGGTACCCCTAAACCCTGAATTTTATTTTCAATTTTTTGAAATACATTGCGGCATTTTAGTCAAGATTTTGAACTAGATAAATTCAAATCAAAGAAATATTTTGGAAGGTCTTATCTTATTTGATTTTTTTTTAGTTTTATTCATAAATGAATATTAATTTATTGTATTTTTTATTTATTATATATTTATTAATATAGATATAATAAAAAAAACAATAAAAAGCATGGCATTCTGGAACGGGCCGTTTTGAATTCAGAATGGCTCGTTCTGGTTTCAGGTTTTTTCCGGAATTTTGGCGTCCACATGTGCATCCACGTGGCATCCACATAGATGCCACGTGACAAACAGTTAACTCCGTCTAAATCATTTAGACGGAAGTCCCAAATTGCACTAATTTAAGTTATTGGGATCAAATTGAGACAAAAAATTAAAATGGGACTAAATTAAAATAAAAAAATATTATAAGAGACCAAAAGAGGTATTTAACCTAAATTTTTAAAGTATAAGCATATTGCACAAAATACTCCACATGCGATCCTCTCGAGAAATACGTGTATGCTTCTTTTAATCTTCAAAATTTAACATGTGTTGTAGTTTCAAATTATAAGAGTCCACAATATTTTTTTTTCCTATTCTTGTAATTCAATTGATAATTAGTCGAATTAATTAATAACTCATCAACTCAGTACATTATTAAGTCAATAGTCACTCTAATAACGATAATATTGTACTTGAGTTAGATGTTTAATTTCATCCTCTTTCTTCCATCTCTAACCAAATCATATCTTTTACAACACATGCAATGGTAACCTAACTTTTAACATGTTCATTAGGAGAATTGATGCACACATTGATTAGTAAAATAAAGCACAACTTCTATATTCCCTTTTATCACTCTAGACATTTACTCCTTTTTTGATCTATAGCACCTTTTGCTTGTTGATGTTTTTAAAATTACTATTTTGAGGTCGTAATCTTTTTCTATATTATTATTTTTTATTGATAATATATATATATATATATATATATATATCATAAATTTCAACATTAAATCAAATCATTATTATTTATTTATTAAATAAAGGAAACATATATTTTATATATTCAAATGTGTAATTACCCTTATCATTATTAAATATAGTCAAATATTCATAAATAACCTAATTTATATGTTATAATTAAAGAAACTTATCTTAATAATATAAGAAAATTTAATTAACTCATACATTAATTAAGAAACTCAATTATCATTTAATTTTGCTAATATTCAATAAGAATTATCTCTCTTTTTTTCTATGCAACCTTCATTAGAACTCAATATCAATAATAATAAAAGCGTTATTAGAAATAAAATTTTAATTAAATGAAATGTATTTTAGAGACTGTATCATTAAATAGAGTAAAAGTAATTAAGACTTATTTATATTTAAGTTTACAATTGATAAGATTTTTTCCCCTTATATTTCAGTACAAAAAGAGTATATTTAATAAGTATATTAATTATATGTTTGAAATATTTTTTTTCTTTAATTATTACAATATATATCAGTGTTTTAGTAAATTTTAGTCAAGAAATGATAATATTAAACCAGTAATATTTACATATACAAAAGATTAATATATATATATATATATATATATATATATATATATATATATATATATTTTGCGTGTAAGCAGAGATCTCAAAGATATAATATAAATTTATTGACTTTTCCCTGCGCGTGGCAAGTGGCCATGGACCAAATTGTGAAGCATTAAATCAAACAAATCACAAATGTCAACGTTTTTTTTAAATAGGGGTTGAAAGTTCATATCAATAAATAAGTTTCTTTGAATTAGACTTTTTTTTTTACTTGTAATAAAAAATTAAAAAAAAAGGACTATTTTTTTAGGAAAAATAATTTATTTCAAAAATCAATAATCTCTTATTATATAAGATAGTTGGTCTCAATTATATTTTAATTGTAAAAATAATTCAAATATATATATATATTTACTTTGCTAGTGCAGAGCGTAAATTCAATAAATGATATGCGTATAGTTTTTAAATACTTTTTATAAATTATAATATTTTTCAAATGCAAAACCTTATTTACATTGTAAGTTTATTTATTTGTGTGATTTCATGCGTAAATGGATGTCTTTCTTAATAAATTCACAATAAAAAAAATAGTGTATAATTCTTAATAATACTTTTTATTAATCTTCTTACTTAAAAATGATAATTTTATAATTTTAAATTATCAAACATACTTATTTTTAATATTTTGTTTATAACTATTGCAAAAAAGTTATAGAAAATATTGACTCAAATCTTAAAATAGTAAAGCCAAAAAAGGGGACACAGTGCAGAACTCAAAATTTTAATGTCATGTTGACCTACTTTACCCCATGGAATTGTAGTACCTACTTTTATAATGTTTTGAAGCCTCCTTCTCTGACTAAAATACGAGCCAAAAAGTTTGTTTTTTAAACAAAATAAAAATTGACGATACTTATACGCAATATTATTTAATTGAGTGATTGACATTTTTATGCTTATTTTAATAAATAATAAGAGATCAATAGAAAATGTCGGTAAAACGAACATCCAATCCAAATCCAAACTCCGATTTATCAATTAAATTGAAGTAATTTTCTTCTTTTTTTTTAGAAAAAGAAATTTAAATCAATCGAACCAAACATGTAGTTATTATCTTCTGATGCAGCTAATATGGATCTCTACTTATTAAAAGCTGTTATAAGTCAAGTGATATTATATTCTTTAATTAAGAATTTGAGATTTAATCTTTAAGTTGAATATAAAATTATAGTTGGAATTATATTTTACTCTTATAAAGGAATTGATGATAAAAATCAATCACTACTTATATCATGTAGGTGTTGGAATCCTGATCCAACGAGCGATTCTATCACGGTGTCAAAATGAAGATTCACCGTACATAGGAGTTCATATATATTATTTTATTAAAGTTCTTAGTATATCTATGATATTCGTGTTTTCCAACGTTAGCAACTATTAATGGAAAACAAAAACAAAAACTAATAGCAATAAGGCCAAGTGGGCAAAACCAGCACCCACATATCCCAATTCCAAACTTAAAGTTATAAATGTTCATCCACCAACTATGCTCCAATTTGCATGACCCCAAATCCATGTCACTATTAATATATATGCAAGAGCCAAAATGCTTCCTCGGTTTCATATTCTTTTCCACTTCACTTCATGCATAACAAAGCATAAAGCCCAAAACAACACAATCCTTTGGTCTTCTTGCACACTGCATGAAGGTAAGTTAAGTGCTTGTTCCCTCTTAAAGCTTTGCTACCTTGGCATCATATTTGTCTTTGTGGTAGCTTCTTGTGGCTCCTTCTATGGGGTATCTCATTTTGCTTCTATTTGTTTCTACCTTGTTGCATGCTGCTTCTGCCTTGAACTCTGAAGGGTTGGCTTTGTTGTCCCTCTTGAGAAACTGGACTGTTGTGTCTGTTGACATAAACTCCACGTGGAACCCTTCTGATTCCACTCCATGCTTGTGGGGAGGAGTGCAGTGTGATCATGCCAATAATGTGGTTTCTCTAAACCTCACTAGTTGTTCAATTTTTGGTCAATTAGGACCTGATATTGGACACTTGATTCACTTGCAAACCATAGTTTTATCAGAAAATGATCTGTTTGGAAAAATCCCCCCAGAATTAAACAACTGTACCATGCTTGAGTACTTGAACCTTTCTCTAAACAACTTTAGTGGAGGAATACCTGAGAGCTTCAAAAACTTGCAAAATTTGAAGCTTGTGGACCTTTCATCTAATCTGCTGAATGGTGAAATTCCTGAATCCTTGTTTGAAATTCCTCACTTGGAAGAAGTGTATCTTAACAATAACAGTTTAAGTGGTTCCATTCCCACAAGTATTGGGAATATCACTCAGCTTGTCACACTGGATGTTAATAGTAATCAGCTGTCAGGGACAATTCCCATGTCCATTGGAAATTGTAGTAAATTAGAGTTTCTGTATTTGGAAAGGAATCAATTACATGGAATTATTCCTGAGAGTCTAAATAATCTCAAAAATCTTCAAGAGTTATATCTCGATTATAATAATCTTGAAGGTACTATTCAACTGGGATCTGGAAATTGCAAAATGTTATCTTATTTGAGTCTTTCTTACAATTACTTCAGTGGGGGTATACCATCAAGCTTAGGGAATTGTAGTGGTCTAATAGAGTTTTATGCTGCAGGGAATAAATTAGTTGGCAGTGTACCATCAACCTTAGGCCTCTTGCACAAGCTTTCTCTTCTAATAATTCCAGAGAACCTATTTTCAGGGAAAATACCCCCACAGATTGGTAATTGCAAATCACTGGAAGAGTTGCATTTGAATACTAATGAACTCGAGGGAGAAATTCCTAGTGAATTGGGAAACATGAGTGCACTCCGTGATCTTAGATTATATGAAAACTTTTTGACAGGAGAAATCCCAATTGGGGTATGGAAAATTCAAATCCTTGAGCATGTCCTTGTGTACAATAATAGCCTTTCAGGTGAGCTACCTTTTGAGATGACAGAGCTAAAACATCTTAAGAATATCAGCTTGTTTAACAACAGGTTCTCTGGTGTCATACCTCAAAGCTTAGGAATCAATAGCAGTTTGGTGCTGCTAGACTTCATGTATAATAATTTCACTGGTACCCTCCCACCAAATCTTTGTCATGGAAAGCAACTTGTGAGGCTGAATATGGGTAGCAATCAATTTTATGGCAACATACCTCCTGATGTAGGAAGGTGTACAACTCTTACAAGGGTGAGACTCGAAGGAAACAATTTCACCGGGCCTCTTCCTGATTTTGAAACTAATCCAAATCTCTCTTACATGAGCATCAACAACAACAATATAAGTGGAGCAATTCCATCAAGTTTGGGAAACTGCACAAATCTCTCTCGTTTATATTTATCCATGAATAGCTTATCTGGTCTTGTACCCTCGGAGCTAGGAAACCTTGTGAATCTTCGGACTTTAGATCTTTCTCACAATCATTTGGAAGGTCCTTTGCCACAACAGTTGTCAAACGCTGCCCAAATGACCGAGTTTGATGTCGGATTCAATTCCTTGAATGGTTTGTTTCCATCAAGTTTTCGGAGCTGGACAACACTAACTACTTTAGTTCTCTCAGAGAATCATTTTAGTGGTGGTATCCCAGCTTTCTTGTCAGAATTTAAAAGGCTTAATGAGTTACGGCTTGGTGGAAATATGTTTGGAGGAAATATTCCTAAATCAATTGGAGAACTGGTGAATTTGATGTATGAGCTAAATCTAAGTGCTAATGGATTGACAGGTGAGCTTCCTAGGGAGATTGGAAACCTGAAGAGTCTGCTAAAACTGGATCTATCTTGGAACAATTTAACTGGAAGTATACAAGTTCTTAATGAGCTCACTTCATTATCTGAATTCAACATCTCATTTAATTCTTTTGAAGGTACTGTGCCACAACAGCTAATAATGATACCAAATTCTTATTCATCATTTTTGGGCAATCCTGGCCTATGTGCCAGTTTTTCATCAGATGGCTCAAATTTCACTGAGAGGAGCTATTTAAGGCCATGTGACACAAATTCGAAAAATCTCGGTAAAGTTGCAACTGTGATGATAGCACTTGGATCCTCAATATTTTTTGTTCTGCTGCTGGGGTTAATCTATATATTCTTTATCAGAAAAATTAAGCAGGAAGCCATAATCACTGAGAAAGATGATTCTCCATCCCTTCTCAGTAAAGTGATGGAAGCTACGGAAAATCTAAATGATCAATATATTATTGGCAAAGGTGCTCAAGGTGTTGTTTACAAAGCAGCACTAGGTCCAGACAATATTTTGGCAATCAAGAAGTTTGTATTTGCTGACGATGAAGGGAAAAGCTCAAGCATGACCAGGGAAATTCTAACCCTTGGAAAGATAAGGCATCGAAATTTGGTTAAATTGGAAGGGTGCTGGTTGAGAGAAAACTATGGTCTAATTTCATACAGATACATGCCAAATGGAAGTCTTCATGATGCTTTGCATGGCAGGAATCCACCACATTCCTTAGAATGGAATGTCAGGCATAAGATAGCTGTTGGAGTTGCTCATGGGTTGGCTTATCTCCATTATGACTGTGATCCTGTCATAGTGCACAGAGACATCAAAACAAGCAATGTACTTCTAGATTCTGAAATGGAGCCTCATATTACCGATTTTGGTATTGCCAAGCTCTTAGATCAGCCTTCTACCTCAACACAGTCAGCATCTGTTACTGGCACACCTGGTTATATAGCACCAGGTAATTCTTCTATATGATAACTGTTGCACCCTTTTTTGTTGTTAGAATTTAATTTATATGCACTGTCAACAATTTTTTATTTTTTTTATATATAGGCATTTTATAGGATTTCATCCTACAACAATTTTTTATTTTTTTTATATATAGGCATTTTATAGGTTTTCATCCTCCCGCCACATCATATTAACCATAAGATGTGATTGGGTGAATTCCTATAAGACACGTGTAAAACAATTTCTTGTCATAGTGATAATGCATATAAGTTAAATTCTTTTTGTTATTATGTAACATCTTTAATTTCCAATTCCTGCTAATAACATGTTTAAACGTTGGTCTGTGGCAGAGAATGCTTATACGACAACTATGGGTAAGGAATCTGATGTATACAGTTATGGGGTAGTTTTGCTGGAGCTGATATCCAGAAAGAAAGCATTGGATCCATCATTTATGGAAGGAACGGATGTAGTCAATTGGGCTAGATCTTTGTGGGAGGAAATGGGAGTTGTTGATGAAATTGTTGATTCAGGGCTTGCTGGTGAAATTTCAAATTATGATGTGATGAAACAAGTTACTAAGGTGCTTTTGATGGCTTTGAGATGCACTGAAAAGGATCCACGTAGGAGACCTACTATGAGGGATGTTATCAAGCATTTGTAGAAGCTAAATACCCCACACAACAAAGATATTGTATAATCATGACAAAGTTTTATGTTTTGCCACTTCTGGTTTTGGTTATAGTGTACAAAGTATATGTTCTATTCAATCATGCAATTTCGCTGATACTATTTCTTTGGGTAATTAATTTTGCTCATTTTAATATGATGATTTTTATTAAAGCAAGTCAATCATAAGCCTTATATCGTTAACAGAAATAGAGTGCAATTTGGGAGGGACTTCCTCAACTCAATACCCATTGTTTCAATGAGACCCAAATACATTTTCCTTCACCTATGAATTGGAAGGGAATGATTTTTCCCTTTATTTCGTTTTTTTTAGTTTTTAAAAATTATAATAGTTTTTTTTAAATAATAACAATTTTATGATAAGAAAAATATTAGATTAGAAAATTACATTATTTTATATGATTCTCTTCTTTCTCATTCATCTAAAAAAGCCTAGAGATTTTTTTTTCCTAATTTTATTTTATTTCTTCTTTATTTTAATTTTTTATGTATATATTTCTTTCTTTCCGAACTTACCAAAAAAAAGAAGAATAATTAAAATCATTGTCTCACCCATTTTTACTTGAAAGGTTTAAAAAAAGTGTAATGAATCATGATGCGACACCAATTAGGGTTCTCCCAGTTAGTTCCAGGAGAATGTGGAGATTTATCATTCTCCTTCTTTCTCTAGAAATGTGGTCATTTGATTTCTCTGGTTTTCTGCTTTTTATAATCATAGTGTGATTCCTGCAGCCATATATGTAGTATCATGCATTCCTCTGAATCAAACGACCAACATGTTCTCCCTAGTCCAACAACCCAACCCTTCATATCAAAATTCAGAAAATTTACATATCACACACTGTCCTTATTGGTTCTCCTTACAGCAATCTATCTGGGATTCACAAGAACAAACTTATACAAAGTTCACTCCTTGAAATACTCCCTCGCATCACCACCCCTTTCTCATGCAATTGGGTCTCTCATTTCACCCCCAAAACCTGTTTCTATGCCCTCCCATTGTGTATTATGGATGGCCCCATTTCTTTCAGGTGGTGGGTATAGCTCAGAAGGTTGGTCCTATGTTTTAGCCCTTCATAGCCACAGAAAAATGCAATCTTTTAGGTTGGCCATTGAGCACCATGGGGATCTAGAATCTTTGGAATTTTGGGAGGGCTTGCCGCAAGATATGAAGAACATTGCAATTGAGTTGTACCAAACCCAGTGTAGAATGAATGAGACGATTGTGATTTGCCATAGCGAACCTGGTGCGTGGTACCCTCCACTTTTTCAAACCTTTCCATGCCCTCCATCTTTGTACCATAATTTCAAGTCTGTGATTGGCAGGACCATGTTTGAGACTGATAGAGTGAATGCTGAACATGTGGAGCGATGTAACATAATGGATTATGTTTGGGTTCCTACAGAGTTTCATATGTCCACATTTGTGCAAAGTGGGGTTGATCCTTCCAAGGTGGTGAAGATTGTTCAACCTGTTGATGTGAACTTCTTTGATCCTGTGAGGTACATCCCATTAGATCTTGCTTCTAGAGCAAAGTTGGTATTAGGTTCTGGTGTGAGCAAGGGTTTTGTGTTTTTAAGTGTATTCAAGTGGGAGTATAGGAAAGGGTGGGATGTGTTGCTAAAATCATACTTGAAGGAATTCTCAAAGGATGATAGGGTTGCTTTGTACTTGTTAACAAATCCGTATCATACCGACAGCAATTTTGGGAACAAGATATTGGATTTTGTGGAGAGTTCTGATGTGGTAGAGCCAGTTAGTGGTTGGTCTCCAGTGTATGTGATTGATACTCACATAGCATTGAGTGAGTTGCCAAGAGTTTACAAGGCAGCTGATGCTTTTGTTCTTCCTTCCAGAGGGGAAGGATGGGGGAGACCGCTGGTGGAGGCCATGTCCATGGCGTTGCCAGTGATTGCAACGAATTGGTCTGGACCAACTGAATATTTGACAGAGGAAAATGGCTATCCACTGCCTGTGGATAGAATGAGTGAGGGAACAGAAGGTCCATTCAAGGGTCACCTTTGGGCTGAACCTTCCGAGGATAAGCTTCAGGTTCTTATGAGACAGGTGATGAGTAATCTCACCGAGGCTATAGCCAAAGGCAAAAAGGCGAGGGAGGACATGATAAGTCGGTTCTCGCCCGAGATTGTGGCCAACATTGTTGCAGATCACATACAAAAGATACTAGAGCAATAAGAACTATGGAGTTTCTGGTCATGTTTGTCCAATCATGTCTTGTGATTCACACACAAGGAGATTGAGATTGTTAGCGGGAGTGTTATTGAATTTCCTAAAATGATTGGGGCACAGTAACTTAACCACCGAAGGTAATGTCTTTGATATTGATACTTATTCTTTTCCTTTCTGAGAATTTTCACTAAAGGGATATGCATTTGGAGAAACACAAAACTGTTTCTCATGGATAATCTGGATCATTTTGGAATAATATCTTGCTGGTTATTGTTTGTTTGATAATTAAAGATGTAAGGTAGATAAAATCCTAAAATATTTCAAAATCCAGCACAAGTGTGAAAAACACATAATCCATTTTTTTCCTCTTCTTATTCTTCATGTCCTGGTTTAGGATAGGAATCTGAAGATGAAAAGAGAAATGAAGGGGTTTTAACCAGATAAACAACATCATTTATGTTTCCTCTTTTGATCAACTTGAATGAAAAATATAATTCCTTCGTTGTGCAAGTTATCTGATATACTGATGAGTAATGTTAGTGAAACACAAGAATTATAAGAAATAAAATTATAATTGAGTAAAAGAACACAAAATGTCTCACATTCATTGATCTTTGTTACACTTATTAATCTGGTCTTAAGAGTTGAAGTTGGTGGAAAGACCCATATATTATATCTGCTACTCTAAAATCTCTCCAGTGTTGCATCTAATTCCTCTCTTGTTAATCTAAATGTAGTTATGAATATCTCGTTGGGTTTAGAATTGTTGCAATTCAATCTGATTTTGCATATATTGTGATTTGAATCAAGCAATTGTGAGGTATCAAGGTTGATGTGGCTTAAATTGCAAACTTGGAACAGTAGTCTCCAAGATGTGGCTTAAATTGCAAACTTGGAACAGTAGTCTCCAAGATGTTGCTCGGACCGTAAATTTTGAATGTAGTTGTTTCATGTTACCATTGTTGAATAATGAATAAGATCATGTTGTAACTAACTGACTGACTGGTTGTTCTGGTACATGCAGGACATTGAGATGCATTATTGAGCCATGGTTTATTAGTCAATAGAAAATTGCAGGTCTGAGGATCTTGCATGTTCTTATTATGCTTGTTTTGAGCTTGCAAAATTCTGGCCATAATTATATTTTTGGTGCCCATAAATATGTAAGGGTGTTTCAATGTACCAATAATTCTCACTCCTCTCAAACAGTATGTTCAATTTTATTTTTTTTTATTTTGTCAGCAAAATTCTAGATTTTAGATTTAGCTGGTATTTTAACTTGGGCATTGCACAAAATAATTGATTATTTTTTATAATTAAAATTTTCCCCATCTTTGCTTATAAAATAAAGAGGCCTTGACTCTTGACTGAATTCAGTTATTGCAGTATGGATTTCTTCATAAATAAGTTTATTTTGCTATCCATATTGAGTTGTACTTTAGCAATTTGACCGTATAGAAAATTTAGAACTTGAGCTTCATTTTCCTATGTAACACCTTTCAATATGTTTTCATTGACTTTAGTTGTAAGATGGAGCTTTGAGTCAGAAGTGATGTTTATATTTTTGTTGAATAAATGGTTTAAATTTTTTTGCAAGGATTTATGGTCTCTGGGTTAATGAATTTTGAAAAATGTAATATAGAAGAAATTAATGTGGAATATTGTTATTTCATATCGTATGAAACATTTTAGTATTTTAGTCATAGCGCTAGTGGAAGATTTTGAGAAAAGTTTGGAAGGACCAACATAATTAAAACTAATTTGGAAAAAAAAAATGCACTATGTGCTTTGTTTATGTTTTGGGTGGGAAAAAGAAGTTACAAACTGGTCATATTAATGTTTTGGGATGAGAAAATTATAAAGTAGTTATCATGAACTTAGTAATTTTTATTTAAATTAATAAAATAAAATTACTGAGTTATCTTTTACTTTAAAAAATTGAACAATTATCATAATAAGTAAAAGATAACAATGTCTTAAAAAATGTATACTTAAAAAAATGAATCGACTTTATATTATTATAGATTATAATATATGAATAAATGCAATTTGATTATATCATCTATTAGGAGTGATTTTAAGTATTTTTGTAATTCGTAGGAAAGGTTAAAAAAATGACTATAATCAAACTTAAATTCTTTCACTTTTAACTCAACTCCTTTTTTCCAACTACTAGACTAATGTTGGCAACCTTAAGTATTTACATATTGAGTACTTTATTAATTAATTCTTCTATAATTTCTAATTCATCTTCTATTTTTAATAATGTAATTTTGATCCAACAATTTTTTAAAATCACGCAATTTTACTCCTTAATATTATTTCTCTCCTCTATCACCCATTGGCCTGTCCTTCCCCTCACACCAGAAACTGAGGCCAGTTTTGCTCGAGAAGATCCAATGGCTTATGAACTTATTTTTGACAAAATTCCTTTCTTAGTGTCCCCCAAAAGACGTGATTTGTAGTTTTGTAATCACAATTCATTCTCGTGCACATTTTGATACGTACCAATATGGGCCATATTTCATCATGACAAAATAGTGGACAGATGCAATACATGGCATAACAATACATATTTGATTCAGACATGCAATAAATAGCCCTCTTCGCTTGTCCTATGGTTGTGGCCTATAGGAGAAAAAGAGAACAATTGTCTCGGTAGTTGTTTGCAATACATTCATTCTAGAATCACCCAAGGCATCTGTCATTGGGAAGCCATAACAATTTCAACCAGATATAACATTATTGAAGATATGGAGCAAACACAGCTAGGACTTCCTTGTAGACAGGCTTCTTGAAATCCACTGCCTGCACAGATTATAAACCAAGTCACATATTGCCTACAGCACCCCATCTTAATTGGCTTTGGACAGGTGTGGAAAAAAGTTATCATCATCATGTATACTTACAAGCTCAATTATTTGTTCAGGTGATATCCATGACCATTCGCCAAACTCAGCTTTCTCAGTACCATCACCCAAAAGATTGATTTCTTGATCTTGCCCGATGAACTTGAAAAGAAACCTGTATCATCAAGTGTCAAAAACATTATTTAGCAAACCCAAAACAAAATATCCCCTCCATACCTGTACCTACCGCCAGCACTCACCCATAGTTGCAACTAAACAAGTATGCATATATGGGCAGAGCTCTACTATAGCCTCATCATTGAATAGGAAGATAAAAAAACAAATTGGATAAAAATATTTGTTGCCCACAAATTGTTATCTGAATGTTTCTAGGTTGTTAAACATTATGTAATTTGGTTGCGTGCTGTTCTTATGAGTTTTTTCAATCCAGATTGAGCATATCATCAAAATGTTTACCATTTCTGTGCCTGACCCTTCCAATCAGATCCCCACTGAGCATTTAATTTCTCCCTGACTTTTGGTGGGAAGTCATAAGTTAACCAAAATGGTACCTACACAACAGAAAGCCACCATGATGAACATTCAGAAAGGAAAAAAAAGTTGTTTTACAAGGATTTTGGGCTAGATGAAAACTAATAATAACAGTGATGGGTTACTTGACATTGATAGATCATACTACAATGATTAGATGTAACTCTACAATAATTAATTAGCAGCATTGAAAGGGGGCTGATTATTTTCTTGAACACGCCTCAAGCCAAGGAACCTGAGGGTTTAATATGTATGCATAGAATTAATTTAATTGTAAAAAATATCATGTACAGAGATTTATAATTTTGTGAGGACATTTTTACAAGAGCTGCAGACTCCTTTCTTCGGAAGCACCTTTGATGATAATTGGAGTCATAAACCATTCATAGGCCTCCACCAACAAAATTTTTTTGGAATATTATCCATTTTGGTCCTTCAAGGATGTTCGAAACATCACATTGGTCCTCCATTTTTAAATACTTCAAATTAGTTCTTCAATGTATTTATGACATCAAATTGGTCCCTCAACATCAATTTTTTCCTATTAAATTGTTAAGGATGAACATAATTGATGGCATTAATTATCATTAAAGGATCAATTTGATGCTGCTCCTAACCAGAGAATCAGTGTGATACTTGATTGATGTGGTATCTTGCGTCTACAGTCTAGTAGTAGTTGGGGTATGATCCTTGATATTCTTGTGCTTCTTACAAAAATGTATTTCAGCATATGAACTAAGCATGTTTGTATTTTTCCCACTATTCAAATCTAAAGGGTTTTGCTGTGAACGAGAATGTTGACATAAACCATTCATAGCCCTAACTAAGTGTGCAGTTGAGTCGGTCTGTGAAAATGTTTTAGTAGGTTTCATATTAAAAGACTAAAATTAGGTAGGAAAAAGGGATAAACGCCTGTCTGCCGATGATATTACAAGGAAAACTTACATCTCTGAAGTATGAACTCCAGAAAATTTTAATTTATGATTATTAGGCTAGACTGCGGGAGGTAAGCTAGTTGTTTTCTCCACCATATCTTTATGTTCTTTCTGTATCACAGTTCATGCTTGTCGGTTTCTAGTTTCTGACAACACTCTAACTCAAAAATAGACCCATCATTTTACCAAATTGAAATTTGAAAGGCTACCAACCTATCAAAGTTCCTTTCCTTTCATGAGAAACCAACTTGTATGAGTTCTATTTATTTAAAATCTTTGGCTGATAGAAAAAATACTCTTAATTAGATAATGCAAACAAATTACATACTTCTATTCAAAGATTCAGGCATCACACCCAATCAAATCAAACAGGGTTTAAAACATACAATAAAATCTTTGGCTGACAGAATGCCTTGCACACTTCACTCGTTCTAAATCCAGTAAAACTAATCAATAATAAATAAGAAAGGATGCAGCAACCAAACAATGCAATCACATCCTTGTATCCTAAAAGGGAGGTGAGATGCAACAGTTTTAACAATTGGAATAATGTGAAGCAGTTATTACTTATTAGAATGGTGAAAATTGATTCGGCACTTACAAATTTTTTACTATCAAGTATGCAATGTGTAGGGTGTTAGCAGGTAAAGAAATTAATAATTTGCACCTCTGCAATCACTTCCGCAGAACTAACTCCAGTTTCTTCTCTAAGTTCCCTTATAGCTGCATTTCTTGGATCCTCACCTTCATCAACACCACCCTAAAAGACACCAAAATTAAGATAATTACAAGCTTCCAGTACATCATTCCTTTCAACAAGCAATACACCGAAGGAAAAATAAAAGCTCAAACTCTTCAGATTTCTCTATTTGCTTATTTATTTAGTATCAATTTCACAATTTCCACGCTTGTGCAGCATTATGCTATTTTTTTAACAGCAAATGTTAAACACTTTTTGAGTATTTTATTTTATTTCTTTGGATTTTTCATAGAAATATTACGATAATTTTTGAAAGCCGAATTTGTTTCTAGTTTTGAATTGAATCTACAAATACATGTTGCAGCAAGAAGAATCGATTACCTGAGGCATTTGCCAAGCATTGGGAATGTCGAGCCTGGAAGCAGCGAAAATCTGCACAACACGCATTATTAGGCTTTGGTGAATAAAAAAAAGGAAACAAAAATCAAAAGGATTAAGAACGAAGGAAGGAACCTTTTTCTGATTGTTCATGAGACAGATACCAACGTTTTTGCGATAACCTTCTGGAGGAGCTTCCATTGTTGCGAAAGAGTGTCGCAGCAAGGAGATGAAATTCAATCTGGTTAGATTGAGAATTAGGTGTAGTGTTGGTGGTTGAGATGAATCAGGATAAAATACTCAGTATTTTATTTGACTTCTTTTCACTTTTCATCTGACTAGTGATACAGAGTGTCGCAGCAAGGAGAATTTAACGTGTTTGGAAGGGTATTTTGGGAAACGGAAAAAGGTGGAAGCGGAAGAAGCAGGAGAACAAGAGTAAGCAAATCGGCATAAAGCCATTACATTACGGGAAGAGAGAGACCAGCAAAGCCTGAAAAATGGTGCCTTTATAATGGGCCTTAAAGCCCACCCAATGGAGATAGCTCTTCACGGGCCTGGCTCAGTTAAAACTGGGCTCTCGGTTAGTTTTGTAACCCTTGGCCATGACAATGTTCTAGTCATGTGTCCAAGAGTCAACTCAATCTAATCTTGCATTTTAGCTAATTTTCTTTAATAGAAATATTTTTAACTATTTTTCTACGACAAATTTTTTTTTTAAACTTTTTAATAACCTTTTATCATTTACAATATATAGTTAATTTTATTATTTAATCTATTTTAATTGATTTCAGAGTTTCAAAAATTTCAAACACATTTTTTTTCATCATACCCTTATGATCAAACCTAAATTATCAATACAATATATTCTAAGAACAAATATAGAACCAACATAAATACACGGCATAGTATCTGTGTTGTTTTGTTTTGTGCAATTCCAAATACATTTTTTTTATTTGAGAAAGAAAGAAGATGCCTTTTTGTCTCTTTTAAGTTTAATTGTTACAAATGGTCAAATAAAGTCTCACTATAAGTGATAATGTACCAGTTTATAATTTTTATAATTTATTATTTTAATTTAAACTACTCATCTATATAATTTTTAATTTAATGATTATAAATTTTACTATATATTAATACATTAATACTTTTAAATGATGTATCGTAAATGTGTTACGAGATAAATGTGTCTATTTTTGTAAGAATATTTCATGCTAAAAAAATTGCATAAAATTTATTATTTTAACTTGAGATATTTGTGATTGAAAATGAACTAATAAAACCAATATAAATACACAATACAATACCTAAGTTGTTTTGTTTTATGCATTTCTAAATACAAACTTCTTCTTTTTTGCACTTCAGAAGGAAATAAGGTGTATTTTGTCTCTTTCAAATTTAATTATTACAAATAGTCAAACAAAACGTCACCATAAGCGATAATGGTAATTCACCAAAAATAAAAAATAAACGACAATGGTTCGAGTTTATAATTTTCTTGAATTTGTTATTTTAATCTCAACTATTCGCTCATTCATTGTTCTATTTAATGGTCATAAATTTTATGATGCACCAATACATTAATACTTTTAAATGATGTACCGTAAATGCATCATGAAATAAGTGTATCTGTTTATGTAAGAATATTTTATACTTTAAGTTTTTTTCACTTTGATTTCCTTATAAACTTAAGATATTTGCGGTTGGAAGTTATGAAATAATCCTTATAATTATTATTATTATATTCTTTTTAACTTATTTAAGAATTGAACTTCTCCCAAAAAATATCTTTCACTCTATGTATATGTTAAGATAACATGTTTTTATCTTAATTATTTTTTGATAAAAATATATCTAAGTTTCAATTTATTTATAAAAAAAACATTAAAAAAATTTCAAACACTTTTTTTTTCATCATATCCTTATGATCAAACCTAAATTATCAATACAATATATTATAAGAGAAAATATAAAACCAATATAAATACACGGTATAGTATCTTTGTTGTTTTGTTTTGTGCAAATCCAAATACATTTTTTTTATTTGAGAAAGAAGGAAGATGTCTTTTGTTTCTTTTAAGTTAAATTGTTACAAATGATCAAATAAAGTCTCACTATAAGTGATAATGTACCAGTTTATAATTTTTATAATTTATTATTTTAATTTAAACTACTCATCTATACAATTTTCAATTTAATAATCATAGATTCTACTATATATTAATACATTAATACTTTTAAATGATGTATCATAAATGTGTTACGAGATAAAGGTGTTTGCTTTTGTAAGAATATTTCATACTAAAAACAAATTGCATAAAAAAATTTATTTTAACTTGAGATATTTGTGATTAAAACTATGAACTAATCTTTATAATTATTATAATCTTTTTAACCAATTTAAGGATTAAACTTCTTCAAATAAATGTCTTCCCCTCTCTTTATATATGTGTGTTTTTAAAACAACATGTTTTTTTTATGAAAATTATATAATTTTTAATTTATTTTAAAAATAATCATTTTATTTTTCAAAAGAAAAATGATAGGATATTTTTCATCACTTTATTCCTAACATTCTCTTTATTTATGGAATTTTATTGAAAATTACAAATTTTAATGGATAAGACTACTAAATCAAGAGAAAAACTTGTTAAATGAGTAGTGAGACAACATATTAAAATTTATAATTTGTGATAAAAGTCAACAAATAATGAAAATTATTATTAGGACTGTCAAATTATATCTTCTTGATTTTATAAGTTCATCTATTATCTAATTAATTTTAATTACTTTTAAGGTTTCATAGACTCAAATCACATTTTATGCATCAGTCAAATCCATATTATCAACGCAATACATCAAAAAACATATAGAACTAATATAAATACACAATACAATACCTAAGTTGTTTTGTTTTATGCATTTCCAAATACAAACTTTTGTTTTTTTGCACTTTAGAAGGAAAGAAGGTGTATTTTGTATCTTTTAAATCTAATTATTACAAATAGTCAAACAAAACGTCATTATAAGCGACAATCGTAATTCACAAAAAATAAAAAATAAACGATAATGGTTCGAGTTTATAATTTTATTGATTTTATTATTTTAATCTCAACTATTCGCTCATTCATTGTTCAATTTAATAGTCATAAATTTTATGATTCACCAATACATTAATACTGTTAAATGATGTACCATAAATGCGTCATGAAATAAGTGTATCTGCTTATGTAAGAATATTTTATACTATAAGTCTTTTTCACTTTTATTTCCTTATAAAGTTAAGATATCTACATTTGGAAGTTATGAACCAATCCTTATAAGTATTATTATTATAATTTTTTAACTTATTTAAGGATTGAACTTCTCCCAATAGATATCTTCCACTCTATGTATATGTTAAGATAACATGTTTTTATCTTAGATTATTTTTTTATAAAAATATATCTAAGTTTCAATTTATTTAAAAACCAATATAAATACACAATATAATACCTATGTTGTTTTGTTTTATGCATTTCCAAATACAAAACTTTTTTTTAGTTTTTTGCACTTCAGAAGGAAAGAAGGTCTATTTTGTCTCTTTTCAATTTAATTATTACAAATAGTCAAACAAAACGTCACCATAAGCGACAATCGTAATTCACAAAAAATAAAAAATAAACAACAATGGTTCGAGTTTATAATTTTCATGAATTTGTTATTTTAATCTCAACTATTCGCTCATTCATTGTTCAATTTAATGGTCATAAATTTTATGATGTACCAATACATTAATACTTTTAAATGATATATTGTAAATGCGTCATGAAATAAGTGTATCTGCTTATGTAAGAATATTTTATACTATAAGTCTTTTTCACTTTGATTTCCTTATAAACTTAAGATATCTCCCGTTGGAAGTTATGAACCAATCCTTATAAGTATTATTATTATATTCCTTTTAACTTATTTAAGAATTGAACTTCTCCTAATAGATATCTTCCACTTTATGTATATGTTAAGATAACATATTTTTATCTTAGATTTTTTTTTTGATAAAAATATATCTAAGTTTCAATTTATTTAAAAACCAATATAAATACACAATACAATACCTATGTTGTTTTGTTTTATGTATTTCCAAATACAAACTTTTTTATTTTTTTGCACTTCAAAAGGAAAGAAGGTCTATTTTGTCTCTTTTCAATTTAATTATTACAAATAGTCAAACAAAACGTCGCCATAAGCGACAATCGTAATTCACAAAAAATAAAAAATAAACAACAATGGTTCGAGTTTATAATTTTCTTGAATTTGTTATTTTAATCTCAACTATTCGCTCATTCATTGTTCAATTTAATGGTCATAAATTTTATGATGTACCAATACATTAATACTTTTCAATGATGTACCGTAAATGCGTCATGAAATAAGTGTATCTGCTTATGTAAGAATATTTTATTCTTTAAGTTTTTTTCACTTTGATTTCCTTATAAACTTAAGATATCTCCAGTTGGAAGTTATGAACCAATCCTTATAAGTATTATTATTATATTCTTTTTAACTTATTTAAGGATTGAACTTCTCCTAATAGATATCTTCCACTTTATGTATATGTTAAGATAATATATTTTTATCTTAGATTTTTTTTTGATAAAAATATATCTAAGTTTCAATTTATTTAAAAACCAATATAAATACACAATACAATACCTATGTTTTTTTGTTTTATACATTTCCAAATACAAACTTTTTTATTTTTTTGCACTTCAGAAGAAAGAAGGTCTATTTTGTCTCTTTTCAATTTAATTATTACAAATAGTCAAACAAAACGTCACCATAAGCGACAATCGTAATTCACAAAAAATAAAAAATAAACAACAACGGTTCGAGTTTATAATTTTCTTGAATTTGTTATTTTAATCTCAACTATTCGCTCATTCATTGTTCAATTTAATGGTCATAAATTTTATGATGCACCAATACATTAATACTTTTAAATGATGTACCGTAAATGTGCCATGAAATAAATGTATCTGCTTATGTAAGAATATTTTAGACTATAAGTTTTTTTCACTTTGATTTCCTTATAAACTTAAGATATTTACCGTTGGAAGTTATGAACCAATCTTTATAAGTATTGTTATTATATTCTTTTTAACTTATTTAAGGATTGAACTTCTCCCAATAGATGTCTTCCACTTTATGTATATGTTAAGATAACATATTTTTATCTTAGATTTTTTTTTGATAAAAATATATCTAAGTTTCAATTTGTTTAAAAAAATCATTTTTAAAAAATGTCAACAACATTTTCTTTAACACTTTATTTCTAACATTCCCTATTATTTACTGAATCTTATTAAAAATCTCAAATTTTAATGGGTACTACTATTAAATCACCAAGAGAGACTTATTAAATGAGTAGTGAGATGACATACCAAAATTTGTAATTCGTAATAAAAGTCAACAAATAGTGAAAATTATTGCTAGAGCTGCCAAGTTATATATTCTTAATTTTACAAGTTAATTTTATTGTTCGGTCCATTTTAATTGATTTTAGGATTCTACATACTACAAGCACATTTTTTATCACATCCTTAGAGTTAAACTCAAATTATCAATGAAATACATTAAAGAACAAATATATAACCAATATAAATACTCAGTACAATACCTTTATTGTTTTATTATATGCATATCCGAAATACAAACTTTTCTTTTGCTCTTAAGAAAGAAAGAAGATTAGAACTGTTAAAATGGGTAACTCGACCCAGCCTGGCCTACCACGAGTTGGGTTATAAGTGGGTCAATTTATCTTGGTTCACTTTTAAGCCAGCTTAAAAAAAATCAACCCAACCTGACTCACTATGAGTTAATAGGTTAAATGAGTTGACTCACTTAAATTAAAAAATAAAAAATTATTTAATTTTTTAAAAAAATATATATTATAATTTGATATTTTAGAATTACAACTATGTTAATAAATAAGACAAATAAAATGTGAAAAAAAAATAGATATCATGCACAACCAGGTTACAAAATCAATTTATTACATAAAATTTTGATAAATAATATCAAATTGTCACTAGTTATCATATTTTACAATTAGTATATATAAAATTTAGTCAATGATATAAATGCATAATCACATAAATTAACATTTTGAAATATAAAAAAGAAAATAAAAAGGTAAAAAAATATAAAATATATTAGGTGAGTCAATTCCGCTCACCACAAGTTAGCTCATGGTAAGCCGAATTGTAAATGAACTTGGTCAAATTTTCCTTATAATTAAAATGGGCAAAAAAAAATTTGATCTAACCCGACTCAAACCCGTAGTACGCTAAATTGACCCACTAATCCACTTTAACAACTTTATAAAAAATATATTTTTATCTTTTTTGAATTTAATTATTACAAATAGTCAAACAAAGCATAACTATAAACAAAAATGGAAATTCACCAAAAAAAAAAGTAAGCGACAATGGTAAGAGTTTATAATTCTCTTTATTTTTTTATATTTTAATTCCAACTATTTGCTTATACAATTTTTAATTTAATGCTTATAAATTTTACGATACACTAATACATTAATACTTTTAAATATATATATATATATATATATATATATATAATAATATTGTATCATAAATTTAGAATATTACACATGTATGCCTATAACTTTAATAACATGAACAACTTAG